TTGGACAGAAAATTGTCTATTGTAAATCAGAACACAAAGCCATCCCGGAGTGAAGTGCACTGGACTGAAATTCACTTTGGTCAGGCAGGTAGGTAGTTTTCATGACTGGAGCAGGCATGGAAAGAATAAATGTTTCCTCTCTTCTGCTGTGGCCCAGGAAAATCCCATCTTCTGAAGCTAGCAGTTGCATAGAATGGAAATTCCCTACTGGCAGCATTAATTGAGTTGATTTCCTTCCAAAGCAAACAACAGCTTCAGTGCAAGAACCGCTGAAGAGCCTCCTGAAGATTTGGGTGGGGAAGAAAGAGCTATATTTTCCTATCATGTCTTTGGAAAGTCTCCTCTCCGGGTGATATGATTTGCATTTAAAATGCTTGCACCTAGACAGACACTGATAGAATGAAGCATCAATGTCATGTTTAATTTGACCTTGAGCAACTAGAGTAGACATTGGAAACATACTGTCCTTATTGGACTGCAGTTCCCACCAGTGTTAAGCCTGCATAGCTAATGGTAAGGCATGCTGAGAGTTACAGTCCAGCAGCATATGGAGTGTTTCATTTTGCCCACCTCTGAATTAGGCTAATGGCACTTTCCTTGTGTCCCATCAGAGCCATCCTCACCTATAGAATGGAGAACATCTATGATCATTTCTCTACTTCTAATCACCCTCTGCACTGACCAGAACTTAGAAATGTTATTTTACTTGGACAAGTTCCAGAATCTCCCAGCCATCATAGTTACATCCCTGCTTATTGGGAGGATTCTAGGGTGTGCAGTTCAGTTTTCCAAGCTTTGGTGTTGGTTCAATTCCAAAGTCATTCAACTATCCTATGGAAGAGACCATCCATTTCCCCCCTTGATTTCATCTGTGTCCAATAGTGAAATGGAATAAACAGCACAATCATCCTTTTCTTTGAGGACTAGATAACCATCAGCTTAAGTTTTGGATTAATTGTGTTCCCGTTAGAGAGGCCTCCTGGAAATTTTTTCATAATAAGAAAGGGTTTGTCTAAACTTGCTTGTTAAAATACAGTACTGAATCTTCCATGATGTATAGACCTGGCAAGATGTTAGTGTTGATCAATCATTACCTTGGCACGCCTGCTGATACTCCCTGGTTCAAAGCCAGGCTCCTCTTGAGACATGTTTTTCAAAACTGGAGAGACAATATTTTGCTTTTTAAATACTGGGAGTCTCTCTCTCCCCTTGATGCTGAGACAGAGGCTGGTACTGCCAGGGCAGATTCTCAGAGCATGAATTGATGGGAGAGTTTGTGTATAAGTGTTGGTTCCCAGAGCCCAAGGTTTCATCTTTTTCTTTTTGTTCGGTGCAATAGAAACAGTGCACTTCAGCTACGGCTGGTAAGGCATTTTGCTCTTTCGGCTTACAGAACCCTTGGCTAGTAGGAAAACTCCCTTATTTTTGCCATTCACTCCATCAAATGCAAACACTGACCTTTATCAGAGAAGTCAGAAGTCACATTCCTCTTATGAAACAAAAATGTTCCAACTTTTCAGAGACAGACTTGTACTGAAGTGAATTAGTACCATTAAGTAAAGCAATGTAAAACGAATTCCCAGTGTGAGTCATCGGATAGAGTGACGGACTAGGACTCTGGAGACCAGGGTTCGAATCCCCACTTGGCCATGGAAACTGACTGGGAGAGTGGAACTGGTAAAGCCACTCCTTAAATGTCTCATTTACCTTGAAAACTCTATTAGGGTCACTATAACTCAGTTCTGACTTGATGGCACAGAACACACACACACAAAGTAAATTAATAAACGGGTGGGGCAATACTTTTATTAGAGGATCGCAATCTCAAAAATAGTCTAAATGTTGAGTCTTCAAAAAGGCTTGGCATCCAGCCACAATGGTTTTGGGACTTCTCTGTTTTTCACCGCCGCTGAAGATCTGCAATGCAGAGCCTGATGAAGAGTCTGACAGAACCCAAAAGGCAACCTGTGTTCAAGATTTTGGTGTTCTAATAAAGTTATTAAACCCTCCCCCACCCCTTGTTTCTGCATGTTGCACACATTGTTGTTGGTTTGGGTTCAAATACACAAATAAATACACTTTTTATCACTGATTTGCCATTCTAAATATAATGTAGTTGATAAAAGATCATTAAGAAAAAGTTTTGAGGGAATTAGTAAACTATAATTAATACTATTGTTAATTGTAGTTTTAGAAATGGGAGTTAAGCACACCTGGATACCCACTCTTCCCAAAATGTTTGAAACTGTGAGCCTTCAGACATGAAGGACAAGTATTCTCCACATGCTAAAAACACTTACTTATGAACAGCTGTTACCATTGTCCAGTCTTGGGTAGCTTCAGTGTGTTAGTGTGTTGCTTAAATGCAACTACTCAGGCACTGTTTAACGTCAGTCATTTATTACATGTTCAAAGGCACTCTTTCACCTAACGCTAAAGCTGTGCATATTCACTCAGGAGTTATTCTCTGTGTCATGTCTGAGTAAAATCGAGCCTGTTATGTGCTCAAAGGCATCATTTTTGTCTAGCCTGCAAACTGGGCAAAGGGCTTTTAAATATGTATAATCATTCATAGCGGATACATTTTGCTTAGAAAGGGTCATACGAGCTGAGATTTCTTTGGTGACTCATTGCAACACATGTCCAGACCTTCCCACATTCAACCTCCATCAGAGACTAATGCTTTGTGGCTGGAACAGAGCAGTGACCTTAGAAATGTTGGGGTGTAATTCCCTCTATTCATGAGCCTCCTCTAGATGGAGAGGCAGAGCCCAACCTTTGGCCCTATTGCATGTCTGTAGTGTGCATGAATGCTTGCTTTCCTGTGCACAGGTATACACACACAGGTTAACACACAGGTATACACTAACTTGTGTCCCAGTTCTTCCTGCTACTCTTGGCTACACACCACACTGTGCCTTCTTCCCTACCAGCCATAATAGATTGCCCCTGGTTGTTTCCTTCTACTGAAGTGATGGGGAGAGACGTCCATACCTGGTCTCCAGTGAAACATCATCACTGCAAGCCTGGGTCAAGGACTGTGGCTTATTACATGCAAGCACAAAAGACCTTCTCACCCATCGGTATGTTCTGCAAAACCAGCAACACCTGTGAGCATAGTGGGGCCTCAATCTTTGAAGTACAAACACATCATGAGGGGTGGGTAATGATAGATTCTCTCTTGCAAAAACAATCTTAATAGGCTGTGTTTAATGGATGTCAGCTCCCTTTTCCAAGCTTTGCAATAGGGATAGATTGTTGTCTGCAGAAGGAATGTATTGGCTCAGCCAACAATCCTGGGAGGGGGGGGGGAGGCATTTCAGAATTATGCCACCCAGAATCCCAAAAGTATCTTTCCCCACCTCCACTCTTGATTATAACAACCTTAATTCTCAAAATAGACAGCAAAAATCTCCTGGGTCATAGCAAACCCCTTGTGTCCTTGACTCTTTGGGACATGGGGAAGAGAATGCCTGGCTCTCCTAGGGAGGAGGAGGAAGGACGTAGCTTTCCCCTGGCTTGAATGCCAAATCCAGCCAGCCTGCTGACTTGTTCCCAAACTGGATGTGATGGGAATAAATGTGACCTTAAAGAAGTGGTGGCTGGCAGTGATAGGAGGGAAATGAAAGAGGCGAATGCTCTAAAACACATTTTGTATCCCGTAATTCGAGCAAAAGGTGCCAACATATAGTTGCAAGTACAGTACTAAGATGTGTACAAGAGTCTTTGGGTGATCATCCACCACAGCTAATGGTTTTTGCTTGATTGGAGATAGAGTAAAAACAGAGTATGTTTGGAAGAAAAGTAACCAAAGTTTGAGAAACATAGTTAGAATAGAGACTTCTACTGTTCTGGTTCTCATTCCACCCGCACCCAGTGTAACTGCTACTTTCCCCAAATATTCAGCTCATATTGAATACAACATCTCCCATTTCTTGTTATTTTGGATTTTCATCTGTTTTACACACACAAAAAGTTTCATTTGTATGACATGTAAGGAGAAAGAAGTATAGACCTGATTAAAGACCTAATCTGCTGGGAAGATCTCTTGCACAAGCCCAATGGAAAAGAAAATGATGGCACAGCCTGTATGGTTCCCAATTACCGGAGGAGTTAAAGTAGTGCAATGGTTAGGACATGGATCTCAGGTTTGGGAGAACCAGGTTCAAGACCCCACTGAGTCATGACGCACACTGGGTGACCTTCTACCAGTCACTCTCTCTCTCTCTGAGTCTGATCTACCTTGCAGGGTTGTTCGGAGGACAGAACTGGAAAGTGGGGAGGAGAAGAGCCACATGCACTGCTCCAAACGTGCTGCAGGAAAGTGGGATACAAATGCAGGAAATAAAACACTGCAATGAAGCTTATACAAACGGCATCGTGGAAAACCAGGGATCTTGTTTCCTTTCTGGAAATGGAGCAGAGCTGTTCTTTTCCGAATCTGAAAGGAACTGAGTTGTGGTGTGCCGGGAGAAATGACAAAGCCAATGAACCAGAAATGTGTTGCTGAACATTGTAGAGGAGGGCGAAGGTAAGGGAAAGGCAGATATGAGGGCAGGGAGACTTGTGCTTGTAGCGGGGCTTGTGTATAACCTATACATGGTTTCTCAATTGATGCAGAAAGAAGATGGGTTCCTCCACCCTCACCTTTTCTGGAAAAAAAAGAAGAAGGAAAAATGCAATCTCTGTAGCTGTTCTCTAGCATCAGGAAAAAAGCATAGCTAGCAATCTATCCTAAATGAAAGCCTTTTGTTTCTTTGAACTGAAACATACACACACTAAAGCCCACTTCGGGATGAGCTGCAACATTTCCATGCTAGCACATGCTTTCGCCTAGCCTCACCCATGAGGGCGTGTTTTTGGCAGGGTGCACATTTTGGTAGTAGACTGGAACACACCCCCAGGAGGACTATAAATGGGACCTGACTAGGTTGCAAAGGCTAGCTTTTTCACGCGCCACCGTCTTCCACCTGAGCTTTTCATTCATTGCTCCCACCACCATGTCTACCTATTATCAGAGTTCCTCTTCTTCCTACGGGGGTGGCTTGGGCGCTGGGAGTGGTGGCGGCTCCTACCGCGTCTCTTCCGGACGCCTGGGATCTTCCAGCGTCCATGGGGGTGGTGGCGGTGGTGGCCGGATGTCCACCTCTTCTGTTAAGTATGTGTCCTCCGGAGGTGGCCACGGAGGTATGATGGGAGGCGGCTTTGGTAGTGGATTAGTTTCTGGAGGAGGCCTCGGCTATGGCAGTTACCTCGGTGGTGGTGCTGGCGGAGGCTTCGGCAGTGGTTTTGGTGGAGGCTATGGAGGTGGCTTGGGTGGAGGCTTGGGTGGAGGCTTTGGTGGAGGCTTTAGTGGAGGCTTTGGTGGAGGCTTGGGTGGAGGCTTTGGTGGAGGCTTGGGTGGAGGCTTTGGTGGAGGCTTTGACTTTGTGGCTGGTCCTGGCGATGGAGGCCTTCTTCAAGGAAATGAGAAGAGTACTATGCAAAATCTCAATGACCGCCTGGCCAATTACTTAGACAAAGTGCGAGCACTAGAGGAGGCCAATGCTGAGTTGGAGGTCAAGATCCGAGAGTACTACCAAAAGCAGGCTCCCACTCACCCATCCAGGGACTACAGCCAGTACCACAAGATGATCAACGACCTCCGTGACAAGGTAGGATTGCCCAGATGGAGATGTGGTGATGATGGCGAAATTGCTTCCTGAAACATACAGCTCAAGGGCATCAGTGTAGCATTAGCGTTATTGTTGGCAAGGGCAAATGAAATGATAATGTTTTGTGTTTATGTGTTCTTTTTGATACTTCTACCTACACCATCTTTCTATGGAAATAATTTCAACAATGGAATTGTGGGATGATTCTTAAAAATAAGTGAAGTAGAAGCAAAATAAGTATCAATGAGTTGTCTCTCTTTTCAGAACAAATATTGAGGCTGAGAAATAATAGAACAACAAGAAGGGGGTTGAAATAAAACCCATCCTAACATTTGCACAAGAAAGCAAGCAAAGAGAAAGACTAATTAGTCAATCAGCACAGTGCTTAATTAATTGCAGTGGAGCCATAGCAGGTTAGACTGTTACAGACTATTTGTGCAATTAGCATCTCTGTGAAGAGGTTTTTTAGAAAGCAAATAGCAGGTGAGCTGCGTATTAAAAGTAAGTGATGTGATTAAGTTTTAAAATTGGGGGGGCGTGACAGGGAGCAAGAAGTTACAGCTACCCATTGCCATCAGCAGGTTCCTAATTCAGATATTGGAGGGGGGGGTGCTCCCTGCACTTCATTCAAATGCTGATGTGTGGATGATGTCCCATCTAGTTTGGGCCTAACCTTTTATTTATTTATTTATTAACTTAGCCTGAAGTTATAGGATGCAGAAACCATCACTTCTATGCCAGGAAAGTCTTCATCCACTCAATTTCTGCCTACTAGGTTTCTTTTATTAGAACAGGAACAGACTTCAAGGAGTTGCCGAAAACTTTTAAGGGAGGCTATAACTATAACCTGAGGTATATTCACCATCCTGGATGAATGGCACAAACAGTATTTAAATGTGTTTTGTCTTGCCTGAAGCCCTTGACCTGAAAGTCTTTATCTTTCAGTCCAAATGGGAAAGGAAAGGCAGGTTAAACCTATTCAGCAATGAAGGGAAAGCCCTCTGTAACAGCTCAGAGCCATTCCGTTACTACTGCTGGATAGTTTAGTTTTAGGTATCTGGCTGCAGAGCCAGATGTTGGGAGTGTCTCCCTGACAGGGACTGGACTCAATGATCCGCAGGGTCTCTTACACCTCTGCTGTTCTAAGATTACCTCACAAAATCCAGGGCAGTAGGAACTGTTGCCAGAAATGTGAACATTGGCTTTCCCCCATGTGTACATAATGCCACCTCGTGCTCGGATGACTGGCAAATCCATTGTAAAGTAGAACTATGTGTATCTATTACATCCAACGTCAAAGGTAAAGGTAAAGGTTCCCTGTGACAATTTTTGTCCAGTCATGTTCGACTCTAGGGGGCAGCGCTCATCCCGCTCTTCAAGCCATAGAGCCAGCGTTTGTCCGAAGTCAATCTTTCCGTGGTCACATGGCCAGTGCGACTTAGACACGGAACGCTGTTACCTGCCCACCGAGGTGGTACCTGTTTATCTACTCGCATTTGCATGCTTTCAAACCACTAGGTTGGCGGGAGCTGGGACAAGCGATGGGAGCTCACTCCGTTACGCGGATTCGATCTTACGACTGCTTGGTCTTCTGATCCTGCAGCACAGGCTTCTGCGGTTTAGCCCGCAGCGCCACCAACGTCAAGCATTGTGTTTAATCTGAAACAAGGACTCTTCTGTGTTTGAGCTCATCCACACATAGATGTCAGCATGGGCTACAATATCAAATTATGTATGCCCTCACCCTAAATTCTGGTGGGTTCTCACAGTCCCATCAAAGAGGACCATAAGTAGCAGTCTTATAGCCAGCCAGCTTATTACTTCAGTATTGTCTCCACTAACTAGAATGGATTTTTAGGTTTCATTTGTGACTCTTCCCTAGCCCTGACATGCTGAGCTTAAATCTGGGAACGTTTTTCTGCACAGCATGTGTTCTCCAATACATTACTGTATTCATTTTTTATTTCATTAGTAAGAAATTAAGACCTTTGGGTAGTGTGGGCGGCATATAAATTAAATAAATAATAAATAAATAAATAAATAAATTAAGTGTATTCTCGAAGGCTTTCACGGCCAGGATCTGATGGTTGTTGTGGGCTACACAAAGACCAGGGATCATTGCACAAAAAAGACCTGCTAAAGACACCCATCAATCACAGTGACAGATAATCTCTCCCTCTTATCACAACAATACATCCACACACCAAAAAAAAAAAAAAAACACATGCTGATCACCATCATCACCCTATCTCCTGAAAAGGACAAAAGCTGTTCCCACAGCTATAAATAATCAACTATCCAACAAACAGCAACAGAGCATGGACAGAGTTCCTACTCCAGTCCTCTGAAGATGCCGGCCACAGAGACTGGCGAAACTTCAGGAAGAACAGCCTTCAGAACATGGCCGAAGAGCCCGAAAAGCCCACAACAAACAATTAAGTGTACTCAGACCATCAGTATTTGCTCCTTGGATATCTAGATAGACTTGCCAAACACAGGGCACCATTCTTTATGTACACCAATGACTGGTTAGCTTACCTCTTGCTAGCATCATCCACATATTCTTATGTCTGAGAAAGAGTGGCTGCAGTCACCCATGATTTGTTTTTAGGCAGTGCTGAGCAGATATAGTACAGAGTGCAGTGGATCCATCAACAAGAAAGCCTGCATGTGCCTAAGGTGTGTCAAAGTCTATAGAAAGTCCTAATGTTCATCTTAAATGCCTTATTTCAATAGGTATGCCAGACTTTTTCTGAACAATGGAAACAAGGCCAATCATTGGGATGGCTTAGCCATAACATTAAGCTAAGAATGGAGGAACCATTGATTAGCTCTTTTAATGAAAACTTACCCAATTTTGCATTATGTGCACCAAAACTCAGCTACACTTTGAAATGCACAATCCTCCAAATTTTGTAATCAAGTTCTCCAGCTTATAAATGAATATACTGTAAATAAACATAATTTGAATACAAATTTATACATGGAATGAATGTAATTTTCCATGCAAAAGTTTTGAACAATTTTTTTCCAAGACCAGCTTATAAACATAAAAAAGAGAAACTGATAAAAATCTAAAATGAACAGAATCATTATCCTTCTATTAAGTCACAGTTTAGCATTATGAGAATTAACCAAGAAAAGTCCCAGGCTTCCAAGCTCCAACTCCTTTCTTACTTCCAATGCATCTGCAAGACATTTGAAAACTTTCATTTCTAGTTTATATTAACCACAGTTTCCTGTGCTATATGAACCCAAGAAACAGTGGATAATCTTAACCATAATTTTTCGAGACAGCACAAGTTCAAACCATCATTTCAGAAGCTGGCTTGTTTTAAGAAACCATAATGAAGATTAACTATAGCTAGTCAAGTTCAGACATAATGGGAAAATGTGGTTAATTTATAATGGAAGCAGAAAATTCCAATCTTCCCTTGGCACCTGTGGAAGAACAAAGGAACAATGAGATCATACCACTCTTAAAGAAAGACACATGATGAGAAAAGAAATTGGGTTGATTAATGTCTTTTTTGGGGGGGGAATAACAGAATAATTTTTGAAGACTGTGCAAATGTAATTTCAAATAAATTAAAGCAAAATAACCTGGAATATCTATTGCCTTCTGGTTATATATTTATAATCACTGGAATATATTGTCTGGAACCCTAGGTTTCCATCCCCATGTTCCCTCCCTAGGTTTCCATCTCTGTGTAGTTTCCATCTCTGTCAACTGTCTATTAGGAAATGCAATACCCTTCAGTTAATGAATGTTAAATAACATTCACTAACATTCTTGCCTTCTCTCTCTCCTTTATAGATTCATAACACCACTGTTGACAATTCTAGGCTTATCTTGGAGATTGACAATGCTAGATTGGCTGCTGATGACTTCAGACTGAAGTAAATATCTTTTCTCTTTTGTTTTCCTTTCCTTGAGGGCAGATGTAGTGGGGCGGGGGAACGTTAAGGATAACGTGGAGCAAGGAAGAGGATAGAAAATATGGATTTGATCAGGTTGGCAGAAGATGTTTTCAAATTTCTATTTATTTCTAGAGAAAGAGAAGGAGAAGAGATCTATAAAAACATATGTATGGGAAGCAGAACTGATGAAATACTTCTTATCTACAAAGTATTTTCATCCCTCTGAATTCCTTAATTTTTTCTTAAAACCGGCAGATATGAGAATGAGCTGTATCTCCGCCAGAGTGTTGAGGGTGATATTAATGGCCTGCGTAGAGTCCTGGATGAGCTCACCCTGGCCAAATCTGACACAGAGATGAAGATTGAAGGCCTGAAGGAAGATCTGGCCTACCTCAACAAGAACCATGAGGAGGTAAGTGTAGAAAAAAGCAAAACCTGGAAGCCCAGATGGTTTCTGTCACCCATTCCAAGTTATCTTGTATGTATTAATTAGGGTCTCTTAGGAAATAAGAGCATAGATCATTTAAGACTACTGCTTTGAAATGCCCCTATACTTTCCCCCTAACCACTCTGATATCACTTGATATCCAAGTGTCCACAAATGCAGTGACCAGATCCCCAATTGTAACAAAAACATTTACCTCTGATAGCCGGTAGATAAAGTGTCCGATATAATCCACCATGAATTATCTTGCATTTTTAAAAAGCTGCTAGCAAGTTAAAAACTGAGATCATGGCCACTGATCCCATCACCCCCTGGCAAATAGAAGGGGAAGATATGGAGGCAATGACAGATTTTACTTTCTTGGGCTCCATGATCACTGCACATGGTGACAGCAGCCACGAAATTAAAAGATGCCTGCTTCTTGGGAGGAAAGCGATGACAAACCAAGACAGCATCTTAAAAAGCAGAGACATCACCTTGCCAACAAAGGTCCGCATGGTCAAAGCTATGGTTTTTCCACTAGTGATGTATGGAAGTGAGAGCTGGACCATAAAGAAGACTGACCACCAATGAATTGATGCTTTTGAATTGTGGTGCTGGAGGAGGCTCTTGAGAATCCCCTGGACTGCAAGGAGAACAAACTTATCAACCCTGAGTGCTCACTGGAAGGACAGATCCTGAAGCTGAGGCTCCAGTACTTTGGCCATCTCAGGAGAAGACTCCCTGGGAAAGACCCTGATGTTGGGAAAGTGTGAAAACAAGTGAAGAAGGGGACAACGGAGGATGAGATGGTTAGACAGTGTCATTGAAGCAACCAGCATGAATTTGACCAAACTCCGGGAGGCAGTGGAAGACAGGAGGGCCTGGCGTGCTCTGGTCCATGGGGTCACAAAGAGTAGGAGACAATTTAACAACTAAACAACAACACTAAGAAAATGTCTCTCTCAGAATGGTGCCATGATGTATCTTGCAATGACATGCAGTAAACACACACACACACACACACAGAGAGAGAGAGAGAGAGAGAGAGTGTTACTGCTGCCCTGGAAAACTCTTCACAAGAAAATAGGTCCATAGAAGACTCCATTTTTCCCTTTCTGGAACTGGAAGGGCAGAAGCAAGACCTTGCCAGCTACTAGAACTGATGATTGGCTACCAGCCCAGACACCACCACCATACATAATATCATTTGCCTTACCCTTTGTGATTAACTATCCTAAACAGTACACTGTGGTATGAAACCCAACAAGGCTGTAAAATATTGTTTAAAAGATGTGACACCTTGACATTTGGCAAACCCTAACTGTGTTGTCTCAATTTTTTGTTTCACCAAGTTAATGCAAGAATACAGCACTCAACTGACTGGAAAGGTCAGCGTTGAGATGGATGCCGCACCTGGAGTTGACCTGACCAAAGTCTTGGCTGACATGAGAGAACAGTACGAACACCTAGCTGAGAAGAATCGTAGAGATGCTGAGGCCTGGTTCTTTAGCAAGGTAGACTTCTGTTTCTTCATGACTGGGTTTGTTGGAGCACAGCTACTACTTTGTATTCATTTGTATACAACCAGAATAGTCATGAGGTCTTCCAGAGGATTCTGGGAATTGTAGTTTAATCAGCACTGAGAATTCTGTTGTTTCTTTCCCTTACTGAATGAAAGTTATCAGAGCCCCCAGGAAAGATGAATGACTAAAGTCCTGTTCAGAGCTGGGATATGTACTTTTTAAAAATAATTCATGCCATAACTTCTCTAGGAATGCTCTAGGTGTTCATGTGTTATTTGTAGCATGTGCTCTCTCTCTCTCTCAATCTCTCTCTCCAAATTAAAGATTGGTGAGTTCATCCAGCAATATTTCGTTTGATTTTTAATCCTTCTTCCTCCAGACTGAAGAACTGAATCGTGAAGTTGCCACCAACACCGAACAGTTACAGACCAGCAAGAGTGAGATTTCAGAACTGAGGCGCACAATGCAAGGTCTTGAGATCGAATTGCAGTCACAGCTTAGCATGGTATGTTTTGCAACTACCTCGCATGAAAAAGTTCAACAACTAAAGACACACACATTGCTGTGCTGGATCAATCCAATGTTTGTCAAACACAGCCGCTCAGATGTTTCAGAAGCATCCACACCAGGGCCAGATAATAATGACTGTCTCATTGATAGTTCTGAATATCTGGCTGTGTTTTTTTTTCCCTTTTGCTAGAAAGCGGGTTTGGAAAATAGTTTGGCAGAGACAGAAGGACGGTACTGCGCTCACCTGGCTCAAATCCAGAACTTGATCACGGGTGTGGAAGAACAGCTGGCAGAACTGAGGGGTGACATGGAGCGCCAGAACCAGGAATACAAAATGCTCATGGATATCAAGACACGGTTGGAGCAGGAGATCAGCACCTACCGCCAACTGCTGGACGGACAGGACACCAGGTATGTAACTGAGCAATAAAAATCAGCCAGCAAGAAGGAAGAGAGGCCCCAAAGTCCTCATTACACATTCTCTTCCTGTATGCTTGTGTGTGCACATGTGTGGAGTCAGATATGTGTATGTTGATGCCTCTCTACCTGTATGTTCCTAGGTTTAGGGGTTTTTTTAAGTACACCTAAAAATGAATGAGATTCCCAGTGTGGTGTAGTGCAGTGGTCCTCAATGTTGGGCCGCCAGATGTTATTGAAATACAACTCCCAGAAGCCTTTGCCACCACCTCTGCTGGCCAGGATTTCTGGGAGTTGAAGTCCAAGAACACCTGGAGGCCCAAGGTTGGGGACCACTGGTGTAGGGGATTGAGGGATGGACTAGAACTCTGGAGAACAGGGTTTGAATCCACATTTAGCCATGGAAGCTCACTGGGGGGAGTGGAACTGGTAAAACCACGCTTGAAATATCTCACTTACTTTGAAAGCCCTATTAGAGTCACTATAAGTCGGTTCTGACTTAGCACAGAACACACACACAAAAATGAACAATGTGAATATACTATGCAGGTATTTGAAAAGATGTGCACCATACAGTTAAATAGAGAACCACAACTAGCTGAAGTTCCTTCTGTGTGTCCTGAAAACAAGAATACAAATGGGAGACAGAGTCTCAAGATGTATAAAAATATTGGCAACGCAGTCTTTATTCTTACCTAAACAGCTCAGACCTGATGCGTTTCAGCTGTGGCCTTCTTCAGGAGCAAGCTTTTAGAACCCTAGGATCTCATTTGGTCTATACAAGCTCCAACATTAATGCAAAGTGCATTGCCAATATTTTTATACATCTTGAAACCTAGTCTCCCATTTGTGTTTTTGCCACCAGTGCATGTACCAGTCCTGAAGAAAAGACAAGCAAGGGTATATGTCCCTAAATGAGATAACACGGCAGAAATTGAATACATGCCAGTTTACAAAAAAAAGAAAAGAAAAAAGTTCTAGACTTGTACATGTAAAGAATGTTATTTTACTTTGTACATGGTAAGAACTGGTAGCTCCAAGGAACCTTTGGGGAAAATAGAACTATTTTTGGAGTTTATGTTGTGGGAGAGAGAACATTGGAATCATGAGCTCTACAGAGAAATTCATCTGAACATGTGAATAGGGCTTATGCGTGATGTAGGATGTGGTGATGCATGTAAACTCTGTCACAACCCCAACCCCACCCCGCAACCAGATATCTGCAGAGAGAAATATGTTGGGCTGAAATATGTTTTTACAACCTCCCATGATCAAGAACCTGATAAGGCAAGACTTCCAGTCATAGAAACTCTGAAAATGTGTTACTCTGAACATGTTTATGACCAACTCCATATCTCCTAGCACTAATAAGCCTTATTCACATCTGCAGGTGTAATACCTGAATAGGACAATGTAGAAATGCTGAGGTTCCATCAGACGTCTTTGCAACATAGTAAATTGTGAGCAATTATTGACGGAACAAAAGGAGACAATTTGGCATGCCATTGATGTAATCAGAAAGAAGGGGTTAAAAAACCCCTGTGAGTTGTTATTATGAGCCCCTACATTGTATAGTAGGCATGTGGTCAAGTGACCTTGTGCACTACACTTCATTAAATGATTTTGAAATATCCTTTATTCAGTAAGGCAAGAATCAGTGGTTACTGATGGCTGCTGCTAAAGACCACAGCTTGTTCTCCCTGGAGTGGGCTACCCTGATAGCCTTCCATTCTAGACTGTATCCCAGATACATTCAGCTCATTTAGCCCTATTGCTCAAAGTATCCTCTATGGAGCTTTGGCTGAGAATGATTTTGAGCACAGACTTCCTAGAACAACGAGGATTTTCAGCTTATCTTAGGCTAATTCACGTTCTCATTGTTCTTCCCTTTTTTCTTCCTTTTCTTCCTTGACAGGCTGCCAGGATGGTCTCCAAAGGATGGTAAGGCAATGTTTCAATTGAATTTTCCAATATGTTTACAAACAGGGGCAGAGTGAGGCTCCTGGGAAACATGGAGCGGGGGGGGGGAGGCAAAGTATGCAGAATAGAGCCACGAGGCAATCTCTGTTAGACATTTACTCATGAGAATTCCACCTGCAGAAGTTGACGCAGCAGTCTGATGAAGTGCCGGTTGCGTTCCTGATCACGCAGCCTATTTGTGTGGTCAAGTGGACACGATGGTGTGCAAAAATATTGAACAGGATAGGGGGGGGGCAATGAAATTAATGGGATTTAAATCCAATTTGATTAATTTTATCCACCAATAATTTCAGTTAAAAATTCATGAGACTGATAACTCAGTTAAGGCTGATTAATAATTTCAATAACAGAAAATCAGTCATGATAACTACGTAGTAGGCACCTTTGCTTTCAGTAGGTTCACTCTAACTACAACTAAATCTGAATCCATCGTCTTGAAGGCAAAAGGATGACTTTTTCACTCTAACTACAACTAAATCTGAATCCAGTCCATCGTCTTGAAGGCAAAAGCTTGACTTTAAAAAATGCCCTTTACATCTAGAAAGCTACTAATATTAAACACTCCAGCTCTATGGAGGTGGGGGTGAGCAGTCTGAGTCTCAGCAGTGAAGTATCAGAACATAGAAGAGCACAGGTTTAATCCCCGAGATGTCCTGTTTAAAGGCTCTCAAATTGTAGGATTAACAAATATCAGTGGCTGAGATCAGGGTTGATTCATGGCTAGGGTGAGCGTCCCATCACATAATTTCCCGGGCAGCCCCTTGCTCCAAGTCAAGCCACCTACGGCTGTGATTGCAGACAACTTTGAGTTTAGAACCCTGTCTTGGTCTAGGTGAATAATATTGACTTAATTAAGGAAAACTACACATTTCTTAGGCATCTGTTTCATGGTATTAAGTCTTTCATTTTCTTTTAAACTGGAGACCCAAGTGGGAGGGGGAACAAGTTTGGAACCATGAAGCATGGGGAAAGGAGTTCGTACCCACCCTACCCAAAGCTGTGGTCTTGAGAAGAAAAATGTTCCCCTTCCTTTGTTTCAGAAGCGAAATATCTGTTGCCATAAGGTGTAATTTGTCCCTAGGTTGCACCTTGTAAAACATGATATTCTTGAGCCTCCCAGGCTTCTTACCTGACAGAATCTTCCTCTCTTTAACTCAGCATCCCACAGCGGCGGAAGTACCACCATCACCTACAGTGGTGGCAGCAGTGGCGGCAGCGGTGGCGCTAGCTTCAGTGGTGGTGGCGGCAGCGGCAGTGTAACAACCAGCACCACCTCTACCAGCAAAGTGCGTGCCAGCAACTACTGAGAACCAGCACATGAGAAGACTCCACCTGTGCCTGCTGCCTGGCGGAGAAACATGGTGCATCCCCAGCATGCCTGCAACTCCTATAAGAAAGAGTCCTCTGCTTCTACAGGTGTCCCTTGGCTTGGCCACATCCTTAAAAGGCATCCACGTACAAGCTTCTTCTCACTTATCATAGCAGATGCACCTTCCTGTAACTCTGTCCTCAATTAAAAAATTCCCTTCAGGCATTTTTGTTTTGCAAAGAAATACGTGTTGCTGTGTTTACTTTTTGCTATATCAGACAACTGTGTTGTGCAACTTGTGATGCTTGGAAAGATGAACAATAACACACAAAAATGTAGGTATCATTGGGTAGAAACCTAAGTGCACTGAGTTACACATAAGTGCAATAGGGTAAATTACAACAGGACATTGCCATCGACAAGTTGCAGCTCCTATCAGTCATTGCACAGCAATCATATGACTTGGTGCATGACAAGGGATATAAGTGGCAGCTCATCGGTAACCAATAGGTTTCTGTCCCATTAATTAATTAGTTAGTTTCATATCCCGCCATTTCACCAATATAGAGATGCTAAGTGGTATATAGTTTTTTTTTAAAAATGCAACTAACAATATAATTACACTTCTAAAAGAAGTAAGTGTTATGTCAACTACAGCATAAAAACAACTGAAAAGCACATCAGAAACTATATACTGCAACAAAATCTTCCATTAAAACTGGAATAAAGATTGGAATAGGTAGAGTTTCTTTGCAACTTTTTCCCTCCCCCCCCCTCCAGTTGCTTTTTTTGGATTACAGCAACCAGAATCCCCTGCTGGCTGACAGATTCTGGGAACTGCAGTCCAAACAAGCCACTTTTCCAAGCTCTGCTTTATCCATACCAAGATGGGAACCATGAGAAATTCAGCATAATAGAAGCACTGATTCTGAACGGTCTCTTCTTTCATCCTTTTCTGAGATGGAATCTCTCATTTCAATAACCACTTTCTGAAAGGAAGGAAGGAAAAATCTACAGGAACAAAGATTCAGAGTCCAACTATAAATGTGAGCTCCCATGTTATAGCAGCACAGATTGGTGGAAGCCTGTTTTATATATACATACATAAAAGAAAATGGCACAAAAACAAACGTGAATGAGGACAACTCTCATTAAAATATTGATAAAAACGAGAGGGCTCTTTGAAGAACAGGTTTGGCAAAAACCTGGCACAATCTCTCATGGACAATATAATTTAGTGTTGTGTAAAGTATAACTCTGGCTTAGAAAGGTGACTCATAAAGATTGCTATCTGGCTGGGTTTTTTATGGCCCAGATTGGCTGATAACTGTATAAAACACCAAGGTCCCTTACTCTTGTTTTATATAATAAATGATCAATATGCCAATCTACTACAGCTCCTAGGTTGCAGTCTTGAACTGTTACAGGAGCATTAAAGCATACACAGAGAGGATTATGGATTCCAGTGAGGTTCTGTGGCTTAAAGTGTTACAGGAGCATTAAAGCATACACAGAGAAGGTTATGGATTCCAGTGAGTTTCTGTGGCTAAAGTGGGATTTGAACCCAGGTCTCCTGAGTCTTACTCTGTCACTGTATCAGTTATGCCACACCACAAATAGGTAAATGAAGAGATTCGAAGCTGGTTCATAATACAGGGTGGTAACATCTGTTTGTCTTACTTCCTGCAACATTTTAATTTTTTTTCAAGCACAAGTGAATTAACTTTCTCCGTTAGTCTACCTTTTAAAAATTCAGCACACACAAAAAAATCACACACAATTTTCATATGCATTTCTAGACATACTTGTGAACAATTTCCCCTAATAGGTGCAGTCATGAAGCATTTTCCTGGATACAGACATGAGAAATGTGCAACTTTCTAGACGTTGTTAGATTACAGCTCCCATCAGCCTCAGCCAGCACAGCTAGAGTGAAAGAGAATAACTTTAAGAAACAGATGGAAACATCATGCACTGCAACTCTAATGCCATTCCTGCTTATTACACTGAAACAGAATATTGTCACACCATCATGACCAAGAAAAGTGGCACATGACAAGTAGTGATGATATTTCCAAGCTCTGTGGCTCCCTTTGCCTGTTCATGGGTGGAGCCATCTTGGCTACACAAGTAACAGCACTCACAGCCTGAATCCCAGAAACCAAGAGAAAGTTTTTCAGTACTGTTACTAAGGTGTGAATCACAAGATCTGATCTTACGGGAGTTGCTCTGAGTATTAATATCCCCAGAAGATCTCCTGTTTGCCCATCCCCTTTCTCCTGATGCTCAGCCCTCCCATCCTCAGAAAAATGCTACTGTAGAACTAAGTGAGCACCAGTGCGGTTGTAGACAGAAGCTTATAAAGATTTAAGAGGCCTCTGCCATCTGACATAACAGAAGCATATAAACTTTTTTATAAACACAATTTTGCTAGCATCAACCATTGCCCTACCCCACTATGCTGTAAAGCTTTGCTTATTTCATTAACTGCAGGTCAGAACGAGACATTTTAAACCTCTTTCTCCTTTCTGAACAATAGGATGAGAGTCTGTGTGTTTTTCACATTTTGAGACTTTCCAACGAAAAATTTGCAGATGTAATTTTTGAACTTTTGCATGAGACCCCTTGTTTTTCAGTGCACAAAATAAATGTCTGGCAGATGTTGGTGTATTTTACAGGTGGAGTGGTTACATTTTTCATCAATTTCCAGAAAGCTTTGTTCAGAAATTTCCAGAAAGCACTGATCTTTTTGCTCTTATGCAACAGTGAAAAAATCTCACATTGTCCCCCTTTCATCAAGGGTGACAGTATTTACAAGTATGCATTTACACTGTTAAAAATACTTTGATTTTAAATAAGGCCAGGAAAAGAATTATTATACTGTATTCGCGAAGGCTGTCATGGCCGGAATCTAATGGTTGTTTTGGTTTTTTCAGGCTCTTTGGCCGTGTTCTGAGTTTTTCAGACTCAGAACACGGCCAAAGAGCCCGCAAAACCCAGAACAACCAAAGGAATTATTGTTACTGTTGTTGCTGCTGCTGTTGCTGCTGATGGCAGTGGAGATGATAAGCGGGAGATGATAAGAGTCAGAAAGTAATGTTGCCATGCCATGTTGGCCCCATGCCCTGCAGATGGTTCTATGTCTCATAAGCTAGCTTATTGCCCTAAGTCTAAAGTCTCCTGATCCAGTTGGCTCCTGTTCATGACACTGATGGTTAAGGGAACACCATCTTGTGTTTTGTCTCTGGCTGACAAATGTCTTGGATGAACCCAGGAGAAGAAGCCATTTGGAAGATAACAGGAATTTTCATCTGCATCCATAAATGTAATTAAGATAACATCCACTGCAGTCCCTAGGACTTACATGTTTTAATAAATATGTTTGCAGTCCAGTTGTTGGTACAATGATTGAGACAAACTCTGAAGCATCTAGCTTGCATCCTGCTAGCAGTTTCCTCCTAGTGCTGTCATCACTGAAAGCTGCTGCCTAGTGATGTTGAAAGGTCTTTTTGATGATGCTATAAAACAAGCATCATAAATGGTGAAGAATCCCTTGTGATGAGTCCTGACTTATTTGAGCCATTTTTTTAAACAGGAAAGTTTGTTCCCAATGGGCAATTAAACAGCAGACTTTGTGATGCTCATATGAAACCGAGAGCAATTTTTCCCAAGAGAAATAGCCAATGCAATTTGCCAACACCCAAGGTTTGGAGTATAAAAACCTTGGAGTGGGATGTGACAGGCTCACTCTGTGGTGACCTGGGCTTTTGGGGCTGAATATCTGCTTAACGTAACCAAGTAACCCTAACTGCACACATCCGCTGGTGCTACCATGGCTTCGAAGTACTACGCTCAGACCATCTCCTCTGCTTCCGTTAAGAGTGGGGGTTTCACTCGGGCTGCATCCATCCATTCTGGGGGCTCCTGCAGAGCACCCAGCCTCGCTTTTGGGAGCAGAAGCATCTCATCCTCTCCCCTCAAGCTAGGGCCTGGGAGCAGTTTGCCTCCCCTCTGTCCACCACATACCACCTTTGGGCCAGGATTTGTTGGAAGCTATGGCTGGCATGATGATGGAATCTTCAACTGCAATGAAAAGGAGCTGATGCAGTGCCTGAATGACCGCCTGGCAAGCTACCTGGAGAGAGTGCGGTGCCTGGAGCAGGAAAATGCCCACCTGGAATGCAAGATCCGGGACTGGCATGAGTGCCACGCCCCCTACGTATGTGTAGATTATCATGCTTACCACAAGATTATTGAGGAACTTCTACACCAGGTAACGGCCCTTTCAATATCACTGGAACTGGTTTTCCCTCAGGGAAAGTACTTCCAAATTATAAATTGTGTTTATTGCTTTGTTTTTTTTATTTTTGTGCACATAAATTGCAAGAAAAGTCACATATACAATTTAGTTTCCTCTCCCACAAAGAAAAAGATCCAACATTTTAAAAACAACAGTCCTTAAGAGCCTGAATTTGTATCTCCGTGCATGTATCTGTTTGTGGTAAATTATTGTTGACCCTTTTTTTTCCTGAGACCTTCCTCGTCTTCAACAACTCTCTGCCAGGCAGCTACAGTACAATCTTCCCCATGTTGGGAACGGTTTCACTTTTCAGGGTAGTCCATGAAAAAAGGAGGGGAATGTCCTTTCAATTTTCTTTTGAAGAATTTACCAAAATTTGCAAATTGTGTATTTGGGAGGGAAAGAACCTGAGATTCTTTGCAATAGAATAAAATTCCCAGGAATGAAAGAATGAAATAAATATAGTGTCTATTTTGATCACACCCCCACCTTCTGTTCCACTGTATGGTTACCTTTTCTGAAAAGAATCAAGTATATTAAATTCATAATGTAATACATTATATATTTTCCTTTAAGCACTTCAAAAAGTGGTAAGACTGAATGTTGAGAGATTCTGATACAATGTCCTACTTTTAAGACATCAGTGCCCAAATGTTCTTAGACAATTTACTGAACAAGGTCTTCGAGCAACTTTAAAAGCCATTCCTTCCTTCAGGGAATGGTTGTTATAGCACTCATAATAGTTTTGTTAATATGATGATTTTTCCTGCTCTGAGGTCCTTCAGAAAGGATATCCTATACTGTACTTCCTCCACAATGTTACGAACAATTTATAGCTCCATGGTTTATCATCACAGATGCACTGTGCCAAGACAGACAATGCCCGGCTGGTTTTGGAAATTGACAATGCTCGTCTAGCTGCTGACGACTTCAGGACCAAGTAAGTAACTTTTATTCAGAGCCAGAGATGAAAATTTTTGGGTTTTTTTTTCCGATTATATCTTCCTGAACAGAACAGCCAGCATGGGCACTGGGAAATGCAATTTTTTAAAAGCCCAGGATTTTGGGAGTTGTAGTGCAAAAAACTTGAATGCTTCCCTTCTCTCTTGAGAGCAAGAAACTGATTCACAAGAGGAGCCCACAGCTTCTAGTGTAGGGAAGCAAATATTCACTTGCTAAGTTCTTTCAGGTGAGAATGAGGAATTCCATCCCCCCCATCCATTAGATGAAATTACACCAAGTTTCATCAGTTTTTCTAAAAACATTTTCATGCTTCTGAAAAAACTGGGGAAATATTATTTGCACCAAAACCAAAACCCAACCAACACTTGCATTTTGTACAAAACGTTTTGTACTTTGTCAAAAAATCTTACATTTTGCACAAAATACTGCACTTCTTGCTAGTATTTTTGCTTGGCAAAAAAGTCCTGGTCTTTTATGTGTTGAGATGTTATTTCTCAGTGAGGATTGGAGGGGGGGAAGAGAAATTGCAAGAATCCATTGTGTCTTTCCTGTGATAACAATCTTCTATTCCCTAAATAATAATCTCTTATTTTAGCCATGATGAGAGAACGACCATGGCTTTGTTGATTTCTCCTAACATTCCCTGTTCCAAAAGGTATGAGACTGAGCTGGCCCTTCGACACAGTGTTGAAGCTGACCTTAATGGCTTGCGCAAAATTCTGGATGAACTGACCTTGTGCCGGGCTGACCTGGAAACTCAGCTTGAATCCCTCAGTGAGGAACTCCTTTTCCTCAGGAAGAACCATGAAGAGGTAATAGCAAAGCTAAGCTGCCAATATATATAGATGCTGGATTCTATGATGTCTGTACCAGGTCATTCCAGGCATAGTCCCCGTGCTCACAATGTTAAGGATGGCAATAAGTATCTCTTATTGTCAACACAATACCCTAAATAAAACTGACCTCATTTGATTTTGAAAGCTGAAGAAGGTTCAGCCTGGAGAGGATGAGATCTCCTGGTCGGTTGTGGAAGACCTCTGCCTGAAATGATGCCAGAATTGGCAATAATAGGCTAGACAGACAATCAATCTGACTCAGTACAGTATATGATAGCTTCCTATGTTCCTATAAGACTGCGAATCAAAAGACAGAAGTTCAGCAAACTCAGAGTACCAAGAACACACTGGAAGATACTCTTACCTGTTCCAGACTCATCCCTTTGTCCTGATGGGATTCCAGAGTATTATTGTCATACACATCCTTTCAAAGTACTCTCAACAGAGTACTGTACTTTCAAAGCAATGTAAGAAGAAACAAGGAGAGCATTGCCCCACCCTCTCCCCCCCAAAAGACTTTCCAACTGCATTGTAACCAGAACATGGTTTGGCAACATTATTTTTGGACTACGGCCCCCAGAATTCCCCACTACGGTAGAATCATGTTGGTGTGTGGATTCTGAGGGTTGTACTTCAAACAAGCAACTTCTGCAAACTGAATCAGATCAAGTCAGGAGGAAAAAACTGGGATGACATCAACCTCCCTACTGCCCTAACTCAAATCAAGTCTTGTGTACTGCCCTCATTCAGCATCCTGTTTGCTAAATAATTCTGCAATAACCTTGTTACTACCAAAAATAAGGGCCTCCCTTCCTACAGGAAGCTAACACACTCCGCTCAAAACTCGGGGCCAGAGTTAACGTAGAGGTGGATGCTGCCCCGTCATGTGACCTGAACAAGGTCCTGGATGAGATAAGGTGTCAATACGAAACCCTGGCTGAAAAAAACCGCAGAGATGTTGAGATCTGGTTCTCCTCCAAGGTGGGTGTTTTATTTTCATTTACTCATTTGTTCATTTGTCCATTTCCTTTCTATCCTGTCTTTCCTCCAATCAGCACAGGACAGCATAAGTGGCTGTCCCGCTCCTTAACCTTCACAGCAGGCCTCCCTTGGGGCCAGGCAGAGGGAGAATAAATGGCCCAAGTTCATCCACTGAGTTTCGTGGTTTGCTAGGAATAAGAACTTGGACCTAGACCAGTACTCAAGATGCTTTCTATCTTCCGATCTCCTCAACAGATAAAAGTTTCTCAAAACACTGAATTCCTTCCCTTTCCTATTACTGTATCTTATTCTTTCTTGTTTTGTTTTAGATGGAAGAGTTGAACCAGCAGGTGATCTCCAGTGGAGAAGAGCTGCAGACCTGCCAGTCAGAAATCATTGAGCTGAAACATACAGTGCAGACTCTTGAGATTGATCTGGATGCCCAACAAAACATGGTATGTCAAGGAGATAATTTGTGAATTGGGACAGGGCTCTTGCCTTGGATGATTCACATGACCTCCTACTAGCTGCAGAGCTGCATTTCTTGCTTTGTGCCACTTTAATGACACCAAAATTACAGTATGAGCTTTAGTGGATCATAATCCATGTCATCAGATGTACATAGTGTTTTATCTAAATGTTTATATGGATGTAGGGGATTGTAGACACAGAGATCAAATTCAAGGGATTCAAGGCAGGGAGGACTGACAGAGAGGATTACATTATTAATGCTGGCCATTCACCAAGTGGTTTATGGTAACACAGACATTTGGGGTCTAGGTATACAAAGTAACATGTCATATGATAAGATTTATATCATATGTGTTAATTGGCTTTTCTGGTGCCAAAATATTTGTCTTATTAGCAACAGATTGGCGAATGGCCATTATTAATAATATATTTGCTGCTGTGAGCACCTTTTGCACTTAGTTTTCCACAGACCACACTGTGTACAATATCATCTCCAACAATATGCATCCAAAATTCTAAAGAACATTTGATACATATGATAAGATGGGCTTTAGCAAGGAAATCCCATGCTGCAATAAATCTTTAAAAAGTCACATGACTGTTTTTTTTTTCCTGCAACCGATTAATGTGGCTGATCTTTGGAAAGTATTCCATGTGTCATCTTCATCAGTGCCTTCCTATAAATGGCTGCAATAAATCTTTAAAAAGTCACATGATTGTTTGTGTGTTTTTTCCTGCAACCGATTAATGTGGCTGCACATTAATTTCACTATAGATCCCAACATATCGCATGACTTTATCCTATATCCAATCTAGCCCATCTTCAGACTTTCCTCTTGCTGGGATGCTCTTCAATACATATGGTTGTATTTAAATAGGATTTCTAAACTTTATTGGATTTGTTGAGCATACCAAAAACAGTTCAACCCTATTTGAGTGTATCTCTACACTAGTCAGTTAGAGCAGCTTGACATTGTTTTACCTGCCATAGCTGTATTCTACAGAATCCTGGCATTTCTGGGTCAGTACCTTATTGGAATAATTGTGTATAAGAGAAATTGTTGCAGCAGATACAGCTATGCAGCTATGTGTGCCAGTTTGCACAATTGGGTATGTCACCAGGCATACAACCAGATCTCAATACGTAGCCCCAGCCAGATTCATGATTTCCCTTGTGCATGGAAGAATTTCTATATGTAATGCCTGCAATTTGGTGAGATACTTAAAATAATTGTAGATAGCTCAGTGAGTTGGGAATTTGATTCCCCACTGTGCTTCCTGGGAGAAGATCCAGCCTGTGTAGCTTTGGGAAAGCTTCACAGTCCCAGAGCACCACAGAAGTAGGGTTTGGTAAGCCATTTCTGAATACTTCCCACTAGGATACCCTGGCAAGGGTTGCTGTAGATTGGAATTGGATTGCTTGGTTGTCATTGTTAAAGAGCTCTCATTCATACCCCTGAACGAAAGCAGAGTAATCTAGGTATTTCAGAAAACTAGGAATCCAAGGATTTGCCAGAATTAACCACGGCAATTCAGCTGGTGTGAAACTAATAAAGTGATGTGGTGTGGTTACACTGTTTATCTATTGACATAACAACAAAGAAACAAAGAATTGCCTTAGTGCAGTGGTCCCCAACCTTGGGCCACCAGATGTTCTTGGACTACAACTCCCAGAAGCCTTCACTACCACCTCTGCTGGCCAGGATTTCTGGGAGTTGAAGTCCAAGAACATCTGGAGGCCCAAGGTTGAGGACCACTGCCTTAGTGGACCACCCCAAGATGCGGTATTTCTTGTGCAGCCCTGTGTATCCAATAGCAGTGAGCCAGACATTCATCTTAACTCAAATCACAGCTCACAGCACTGAACTCTTAATGACTGGCCATTCAGCTGCTTTGCCATATTTTTATAGGGTTTGCTTCAACAAACAACATGGACACCCCTCTGGAATCCACAAATTTCTGTCTTTCTTCTTTCTCTCTCAGAAAAGTGCACTAGAAGGTACCCTGCATGAAACTGAAGCCCGTTATGGCACCCAGCTAGCGCAAATCCAGTGCATGATCAGCAACATAGAAGGTCAGCTGGGGGAACTCCGGTGTGAAATGGAACGCCAAAGCCATGAATACAAGATTCTTCTGGATGTCAAGTCTCGCCTGGAAGGAGAAATTTTAACATACCAACGTCTACTGGAGGGAGAAGATTGCAAGTATGTATAAATCAAAATGGGCCCCTAGAGGTACCACGATAGGTAGGTGACTGTGTGTCCTACTTTGCAAGGGCAGAGGATAACACTCTTTTTGAAGACTTTCCCGATCCATATTCAGTTTTAAACTGGGGAACCCTAATAGGGAGATGAAACAATGATGTTGCAGATCCACAGTCAGCAGCTAAACAACACGCAGATCCCCTGATGACAGTCCTGTCTCCCACTGTGCTGAGATGCAAGGCACTGCTATTTAATTCTAGCAATTATTTCTTAGTTAGCTTCTCTACATGTAAATTAGAACACGCACATTTCATGGGAAATAGCACAATCAGCTTGCTTAGAGGCTTTGGCTTTTGGAGTGTGGGCTAGTGACTCTTGGTGGCCTTCCCCTATGCTTTCCATTTGTGAATCAAAGCAAAGCACACGCACACACAAACATATCCATACTGCAAACACAGAACAGCTGACTGCTTGCTCTAAAAATAGCATTCTGGGGCTTCAGCTTTGGTGGTGGCGGCTGGTGACCTCTGATGGCCTCCCTTGGCATCATAAATGTGTGACAAGATGCGGAGGAAGCAAGCAGAGCTCTGCTTCTGGGTGCCACATCAGGCTAGTCCTCCTTGAGGCAGCAGGAAATCATCTCAAGACAATCTGTTCTGTCCAGTGTTCTGCCTAGTGTACCACATTTGCTGTAGATCTTTTGTGTCTGATACTGCCGTGTTACCCCGAAAATAAGACTGGGTCTTACATGAATTTTTGCTCCAAAAAACGTATTCTGGCTTATTTTCAGGGGATGTTTTATTTTATAGTCATGTCATCTTCTGGTTGCTGCACAATGGTGGAGTGCGGGGTTCCACTTAACTAGGGCTTATTTCTGGCGTAGGGCTTATATTACCAGCATCCTGAAAAACCATACTAGGGCTTATTTTCAGGTTAGGTCTTATTTTTGCTTTAGTTAATCCACCAGTAAAATATACAGAGTTTAGAAAAGTAACTTTATGAATAGCAACAAATCACTTCTGACTTATGGTGACCCTTTTCGTGGTTTTCCAGGTAAAGAATACTCAGAAGTGACTTCCCATTCCCTTCTTCTGGGGGCACGTGGGACGGTGCAGCTTGCCAAAGCCACACCGGCTGGCCCGACTCACACACAGTGGGGAAAGAATACTCAGAAGTGACTTCCCATTCCCTTCTTCTGGGAGGCACCTGGGATGGTGCAGCTTGCCCAAAGCCACACAGGCTGGCCCGACTTACAGAAGGCACAGTGGGGAATTGAACTCCCAACCTCCGGCTCTGCAGCCGGACGCCTAAAACACTGAGCAATGCTAGGGCTCCCAGAATTTCCCAGCCAGCATTTCCAGCACGAGTTGCGTAGACACCAAGAACTGCCATTGGGCTTCTGGGACCTGGAGTTTTACGGGCTTCCCCCACCACCACTCCAAGTCCTGCGAACGGGCCTTCCTCTTTATATTGTGTGTAAGTCCGAGAAGGTGGAAGGATTAAAAAGCACGACTTTTGTTCCCATTTGAGAAAAGGTGAGGATTTGGGGAAGCAAGGACCAGCTTGAACAAAGCATCTCGCCTAAAGTCATTTGCCTGCAGACCTTTCCCCTGTTCTAAAACAGCCATCTTGACTTTCTTGGCCCTCGCAGGATTCCCAAGATCCCATGCATGCCGGCATCCCCTCCTCCTCCGGTCTGTGCTCCAAGCCCCCAGATCTCGAAGAAAATCCGCACAATTACAGAGGAGATCAGGGATGGAAAGGTCGTATCCTCTCGTGAAGAAGTCAAGCATGTAACCCTCTAGAGCACACAAACTGCTCCAAGCCCCCAGATCTCGAAGAAAATCCGCACAATTACAGAGGAGATCAGGGATGGAAAGGTCGTATCCTCTCGTGAAGAAGTCAAGCATGTAACCCTCTAGTCTAGAGGACACAAATGTCAACATGGAACTCATCTGTCATGGCAGAAGGGAGAATCCAGCATTCATCTAGACAGCTGCAAATATGAAAGGAGCCTCACTGCTAACACTCTCTTTCTTCTGATTCCTTGTATTCCTCAGCAAAGAATTGGCACATTTATATTAACTTTTCAAATAAAAGAGTTGCTTCCTTTCCATTGTGTGATTCTTCGCCTTTGGTATGAAATATCAACATCCTCAGTAAATATATTGCTTTATGATGCTCTCCCTCCTATCAAATAGTCTCTGGATTACTCTGCAGTTCAGTTGTGATACCTTTTAATCATCATTTCTACAGTACATAAGCACTGCCACTAATTTTTTAAACTTATCTCAACAGAAGCCTATCTTATCTCAACTGTTAGAGCAGTGGTCCCCAACCTTTTCCAAACCACGGACCGGTTTGAGGGGTGGGGTCCGTGAGTGGGGGGGCAGGGCACCCCCACTCATGAGTGAACATGGTGCGCTTGTGCAGATGGGCGGGGTCCCAACCTTTTCCAAACCATGGACTGGTTTGAGGGGTGGGGTCCGTGCATGGGGGGGCAGGGCACCCCCACTCGTGGGTGAACATGGTGCGCCTGTGCAGATGGGCGGGGCACCAGTGTGTGCGGGTGGGCAGGCTGTGTGTGCATGTGGGTGTGCAGGGGGAGTAGGGGGGTGGGAGATCTGTCTCCACGGCCCAGACCGGCAGTAGGTCGCGGACTGGAGGTTGGGGGCCCCTGCGTTAGAGCACTGAATTAGAACAGGGACAGCCATTCCAGGAGTTCTTCTAAGTATGGGAAAACTAGGCAAGGATATTTCAAAACATTGGGAACAGGGAAGTTCTAATAAATAAACTTGTGGAGACGTTAGGATTCACATACCTTGTGATTTTGCTGTCCCCCCAGCTCCTGATTCAAGGAAGATAAATACCCAGTTCATTTTATGTTGAAGACAGAACTTCAGTTTTTGAAATCCAAATCAAAAATGGGGCTGACCTTTGCATTTTTTTTTCCTAAGACATATTTAACTCCCCAGGTACTATATAAGAACGTGGAATTGCAGAAGAACAAGAAACTCCATCTTACTCTGCACCACACAATTTTAATTCCATCACCACCATTCCCCATTGACTCCCTTAAACAATATGACATTATGGCAGGCTGTCTCAACAAGAGGAGACACCTTGATTAGGAATATTCAAGCCCTATGAAATGTCCCACTTCTGCATGACAAAGACAATGAGTGTTATTTATTCTCAACAGTGTCTCTGTAATTTGCGCAAGCAGTCTCCTTGAGAAACTAGGATCCTTTGCATTTGAAAAGCAAAACATACTCAGCAAATGCAGAACTGGCTGATTGTTAGAAAAGACCCAATCAACCCCCGCTATGCATCTAATCCTTAATAATCCATGCAACAAAGCAGCCGTCTTTATTTTGCACAATTTACAACACTATATCAAACAGTTGACTTGCATTGTTTTTGTTACCAGCACAATTTTGTGTGAAACAAGGAAAATCTCCCTTTTCTCATTGAGAGCACCACTAGAAGTCTTTGCAGTTCACCTGAGATTTCACCATAATTTGGTGGCATCCATAAACTGACCCACACTCTTTGTTTAACCCTAACTCTACATCAATTATGAACTACTTTGATAGATCCAGTTCCGGCACATATCCTTGGCCCATTTCTTCCCTACCATCTTCTCCTGCTTTTTAATAGTCACTATTAGAGGACCTATCCTTGTCTCCCATTATTAAGAATTGTTGGTGACATTCAATGGCTCTTCACACATTCAGGTAGTTTATTGTCTACCAGATCATCTGAACCATAAAGCTATTGACGCTCTCAGACAACTCCGAAGGATTGGTGGTGAGGCAAGACTTCTCTTCACAGACCCCATGCTGACTCTTCTCCAAAAGCCTTGTTCTTCCACATCTGGAATGATTTCAACATTTCTTACATTTCGCAACCCCTTTTCATATGGGGAGGGATATTCAATTGACCCGCCTATAGCTTCCTGAATTATTTCTAGTTCAGTTTTTTGAACATCAGTGTTATATAAGCTAATTGCCAGTTCTTTGCTGCACTAGCCCTTGTGAAAGAGAAGGTTTTGTCAAAAGATCAACGTTGTCTAGAGGGGCAGGGTAAAAATCGAATAAATAAATAAATACGTAAATAAATACGTAAATACGTAAATACGTAAATAAATAAATAAATAAATAAATAGATAGATAGATAGATAGATAGATAGATAGATAGATAGATAGATAGATAGATAGATAGATAGATAGATAGATAGATAGATAAATAAATAAATAAATAAATTCATGCCTGACATCCGAAGAATTTCTCAGGTCTCTGCTATCTAGGCAGGGATGAGAAAACTGGTCAGCTTTGCTTTCTTCAGCATTCAGATGTGTTCTTTTCTTTCTGAATACAGTACTTATAAATGCACAGGTTTTATGAAGAAATTCATAAATTTTGGTGAGCATTTCAAAATGTACTGAAATGAAACTGTACTCCATACTCCATTCACGCCAGACAGGTTCAATAGATATAGCTGTTTCCAGTGTGAGGAAATACGGTACTTGTCCATCATACATATTATTTGTTTATTTGTTTATTTATTTTATTTTATTTAACTTATATGCCGCCCACTCTACCCAAAGGTCTCTGGGCAGCTTACAACAATTATTAACAATGAGTTTCTAAGAAAAGAAGGTGAAAGATGTGATTATAACTAATGTGGTTCAATGTAAAGGTAAAAGGTAAAGGTTCCCCTTGACACAGGGTACAGGGTACAGGGATTTAATTCAGAATTACAAGAATTCAGTCAGGATGAATTGACTGTTTTAATTCTTGTTACATTTGTGGTCTTTTTTTAAAAAAAGTTCCCCCGATTATTTCCATCATAATTATGAAGACATTTGTAAATTTTTATCAAAAACAAAGTGAAACGGACCTTGGCAATAAAATGTTTCCAGTTCTCCTACAAAACTTGATCCATACACATCACCTGTACTAGAGATGAGCATGAACCTTGGGTTGGAGGTTCATGCTGGTTCATAGGCGTGGCACTACAGTTGTCGCCTGTTTCCTTCCCCTGCCTCCCCAGCTGGATTCCCCACTCACCAGTTGGGGTGTGCTCCCCTCCTCCTCCTCCTCTTTGGCTGTTCCACCAATCTCTGGCAGGAGAACAGGTTTGCCTGTCCTGCCTCCTTGTCTGAGTGTGTGATCAGTCGAGGAGGCAGGGCAGGAAAGGCTGTGCTCCTGCCAGAACAGCCAAAGAGGAGGAGGAAAGGAGGGCACATGGGCTGGTGAGTGAAGAATCCAGCTAGGGAGGCAGGGGAAGAGAATGTGTAGCACCTGTGGTGCTGTGCATACAAAACAGCACAAACCTCCAAACCGAGGTACCTGTCAATTTCTCCACACGTTTCCTCTTTTGTTCGGTTGTCAAAAGTTTGGGGATCCACTTTGCTGCCAGCTTTCTCGTTTCCAGGTCGTTGTGGATAATGGCACCGACTCTCTCGTGTGATATTCTCAGATATATAGCAATACCTCTGGCTGACATTCAGCCATCCTCCATGATCATGTCATGGATGGCTTTCACATTTGCAGGCACAGAGACAGAAACAGGCCTTCCACTAGGTTTCTCACTTTCAACACTGAGATGGCCAGTTTTAAAATTGACAACCCAACATTTAACTGTTGCATATGAAGGGCCACTGTCACCCGTAGTTTGTGACATTTCATCATGGATCTGCTTTGCACCTTTCCCTTGGAGAAACAGGAACTTGATTACGGTCCTGTGCTCTTCCACACTGAACTTTTCTGGAGGTGCTGCCATGTTCACTTTGGAGCTGAAAATGAAAGATAAGTTAAAATCATAGGTAGTTGATTTTTGCACCATTGAATACAGACAAATTGACCAATACACCCTGCAATTTATAGCTTCCTAGCTCAATTTTTTTCTGGGAAAGGCTCAATACTTATCAGCACCCCCTCGTACTACATCCTCCATAGCTACAGGATGGAGTTTAAGGAGAGACTTTTGCATCAGCTATATCTCTTAGTAACCAATACATCAGACAGTATCAAACAATAAAACGGCCACTTCAAAAATTGGGAAGAGAAACACAGCTAACATATTAGATTAAAAAATGAGCTAGGTAAAATCAAGTCTCTAAAATCTATTTGAAAAGTTAAGATTCAAGGCATAATATTTTATTTTAACCCTAACTGAGAAAAAATTACACACTGTGCTGATAAAGTATTGGAAGTAACTGGGTACAACTCAGCAGACACAGAAGAAAATGTATTTATTTGCATGAGGAGGAAGAGACACACACATGGAAGGGGGAGGGGGGCTTCTAGACTATCCTTTACTTGCCCAGACCTAAGCTGACCTTTCCTCAGCTTTCATTGACATCACCTCCTTCCTTTCCTCATTCCTCTCTTGACCTTCTCTGTGAAGAGGACAGAGGAGAGATTGTGCTGTTTTTCTTAAATTGTGAGGTGAGGGGGGCAGCCATGGCTTCCTGCATGTCCATCTTAGTTACATACAACTGGTATTCCTATTATCTTTCCTATTTCAATGTATTTTGCCCATTGAAGTCTAGCTTTCTTGTTTTTCTAAAATAAAAAATGCTGGTGTCATTTATTTCCAAAGAGGAAAGAGTGCTCTGCTAGCCATTCTGATTTTCAGGGATTGAATCCCAAGTTAACTTGGCTGCTGCTTGCTCCTGCTTGCTTTGCTAAGCGTATGATTCACACAGGACGCTAAATTTTGCTCAGTTTCTCATTTTTCCAATCTTTAGGTCACTCTTCCTGTTTTCAAACTTCGTAAAAAGAGCAAGAAAGCTGAGATGGATTTTTAAAATATTTTTTGCAAGTGATTTCTTCTACTACGATAGGGTTTTGTGTGCACTTTCCCTTTGAGTAAACATGTCCACACTCCACTCCACTCCACTCCACTCCACACTACACACTTACATTTGCAAACTACATTACAGATTTCAGGGGGGAAAGCAACATAGGTTCAGGAAATGTGAATGTGGAATATTCTGAGCAACTGGAACTAATTTTCTCACCCATTCTTTATAGATCTTGAATGTAACTAGACACAATCTGATCCAGAGAAGGCTTTAAATTATGCACTTGGCCTACGAATATTAGACGCCATAAGATGCCAAATGCTAATGGAATCTCATGCCCCAAATAAAGTGCCACCCAATAATTGTTTGAGCTATAAATTGTCATCAAGCTATCATCAAAGAAAAGTCTGAGAAAACGCCTTCTACTTTAGCCCTTTTCAGGCATTACACAATGCAGTTTCTTCAAAATATCTAGAAGGGAGCACTTCGTTCTACCTCCTCTGTGGCTATGTTCTTCATGTGTTTCGTTCCTACTGATATGATGGCACCACACTTGAGCAAGGATCTTTGGAAAATATATGTGTGTGTGTGTGTGTGTGTGTGTGTGTGTGTGTGTGTGTGTGTGTGCGTGTGTGTGTGTGTGTGTGTGTGTGTGTGTGTTCCCCAGTTGTTCCCCAACTGGGCCTTCCCTCAGATGTGTTGGACTACCGTTCCTATTCCCAGCCAATTTTGCTTGCGTATGATGGGGCCTATGGCTCAAAGTATTTCAAGGACATTGGGTGGAAGAAGACCGCATAACATATTCTTATCATTTTAGCTGGGCAGCTTATCTGCCTCCCAGACTGCTGAGGTTTGCTGCTTCATATTGATTTCCATTCTGATACTTCTCAGACTGGATTGAGCTCCTGGTCTCCCCTGTAAACTTGAGTCAATAAGAAACACTTCAGTGGAATTTTACTTTGATCTGGCTACCTCTAAATTCTACTTTGATTTCACTGCCTCCCTCTACACTGCAGGATGTGATCTGCATCTTTTATTAGATACTCGCTGAATTCGCACTTCTTCTTCTTCATTTTTAATAGTGGGGCAGTAAACATATTGAGCCACTTTTTATAGAGACAAGGATAGGTGTCACATTTAAGGTAACAGGGAGCAGGCAATAAATTGCTAAAGGCAGATTTTTAAAGCTGCCTGGATAGTTCAGTGGCTTAGTTATCTGGCTGCAGAGCCAGGAGCTGGGAGTTTGATATCCCACTGTGTCTCAAGAGCCAGCTTGGGTAGCCATGGGCAAACTGCACAGTCCTAGGGCGTCCCCAGAAGTAAATGAGAAACCACTTCTGAGTATTCTCTAACTGGAAAACCCTGGAAACATTCGCCGTAAGTCTGAATTGACTTGACAACATACAATTATTATTGAAGGTCACAAGTTGATGTTAACTGCTCCCAGAGGAACTGACACAACAAGGCACTAAGAAGACTACCCCTTTTCAGGGGTGTGACAGGTTCACCCAGGGTGAATGTCTTTCTGTAAGACAATCAAGTCCGAAGGGTCAACCAAAATCCATCCCCATAGCTCTCACCCAAGGAAACTTATTGGAGGGCACATTCTCATTAGCTGTCTCTGATGCCCAGGACAAAAATTTGATACCACTCAGCCATAAGCCAAAGAAAAAACACCATAATCAAAAACACCAGGCACAGTCAAAATTATAAAAACATTGACTGGTATTAGATATAGGTTTTAACCAAAAACATAAGTATCTGTTAAATATCAGCACAGTATGTATGCTGTTCCTAATATTGCCATTTTTGTAGCTCTGATGGTGTGATTTCTGAGATCTGCAACTGCTTATAGTACTGTGTGAAATTTCTTGATATTGTTCCCAAAGCCCCAATGACTATGGGGACCACTGAAGTGTGTTTCTTCCAGAGGCAAGATGTTTCAATTGCCAAGTCTCTTTACTGTTAGTTTTTCCAATTCTTTCTTTTCAACTCTGGCATCCCCTAGAATTGTAATGTCAATGATCTGGACATTTCTTCATTGTATCGCTACTATGCCTGGTGTGTTATGTTCAAGGTGTCTATCTGTCTGGATCCAGAAATCCCAAAATATCTTGACTTTCTTATTTTCTGACATCTTCTCTATTGTTGTTGTTGTTGTTGTTGTTTTACCCCATCTTTCTCTTTAAGAAGAACCCAAGGCAGGTTACATCATTAAGACAATATTTAAAGCTAAAAATAGTAAGTATACAAATGCTAAAATAGATCAAACAATACTACATTAAAAGATGACTAACAAAAGCAACACCAAAAAACACATTCAGAATGCTAAGGCACAACTATCCATTTAAAAACCCCACACAGGCAGCCAGTTTTTAAGGGGAAGCTTGCCTTAAGAAAAAAGCATTTGCCAGCTTGCAGAAGGACAGCAAAGATGAGGACAGTCTGGCCTCCTGTGGGAGGGAGTTCCAAAGTCTGGGAGCAGCAACAGAGAAGGCCCCCTCTCATGTCCCCCCACCAAATACACCTGTGAGGGTGGTGTGACTGAGAGAAAGGCCTCTCTCAATTATCCTAACATCTGGGCAGACTCATAAGATATGGTCTTTGAGATATAAACAAGTTGTTTATAGCATTATAGGTTAGAATCAGCACTTTTGAATTGTGCCCAAAAATGGACTGGCAGCCAGTGAAGCTGCTATAATACTCTCTCTCTCTCTCTCTCTCTCTCTCTCTCTCTCTCTCTCTCTCTCTCTCTCTCTCTCTCTGTGTGTGTGTGTGTGTGTGTGTGTGTGTGTGTGTGTGTGTGTGTGTGTGTGTGAGAGAGAGAGAGAGAGAAGAGAGAGAGAGAGAGAGAGACCAGACCCAATTATCAATCTGGCTGCCATATTTTGGACCCAGCAAAGTTTCTGAACACTTTCCAGAGGCATCTCCATGTAGAATGTTTTACAGCAATTCAGCCAGAAAGTAACTAAGACATGTTTCACCGTGGCCAGATCAGACCTCTCCAGGAATGGGCACAGCTGGCACACTAGCTTTGATTGTACAAAAGCACTCCTGGACACTGCTGAAACCTCAGCATCCAGGCTCAGAGACAATTCCAGCAGCATGTGCACCTGTGTTTTCAGAGAAAAGGCAACCAGATCCAGCACAGGCTGAAATCCTATTCCTTGATCTGCCTTAAGACTGACCAGGAGCACCACTGTCTTGTCTGGATTAAGTTTCAGTTTATTTACCCTCAAACAGTCCATTACTGATATCAGATACTGAACTAGACCTAAAACAGCTTTCTCGGATTTAGATGGCAAAGAAATTGTATGTAATCCACATTCTGGTGACACCGAACTCCAAAATTCTGAACAACTGGAGAAAAAAAACATGTTAAAATATCTTTTATAGATTTATCTGGAAATCTGAGCAGTTTGCATCCAGTTAAGGGAATATTAGTATGACACAAATGTTCTTTGTGTATTGAAATAATCTACAGAAATACTGTCTAGCATGTTTGGGTGTATTTCGCCGTTGGTCGAAACAGGTCAGAGAAAGAGTGGACAACCCTGCTGTGAAACACCAAGCCTATAATGTTTCTGAAATGCCCCACACCCAGCTATTGAAGACTGGTGTTTCATGATGATGATGACAGGTTGCTTTGATGGTGTCCCGTAAAACTTTCATTCCAGAGACAGCCATGAAAGGAAATCCCGCGTTAGCAAGCAAAGCTGTGAAGTAAAGAAGAGGCATTAATAAGCAAAGAAATGCTCCTTAACCAAGTAACGAGCAGGATAATGAGAAGCACACAGGTGAATTGCCACAAGAGGCAAGCCTCGTAAAGAAGCTAACACCCAGTGTTCCTGGTATAAAAAACCCTCTAAAGAGGAGACGACCTTTCAGACTTGGGTGTCCTGGGTCTTCTCTCTCATTCGGAAACCTAGGTTTTCCTTTCCACTATGGCTTCTATTTCCAGTCGCACTTGCGGGTCCCTCAGGGGCTCTTGTGGGATTATGCCCCCCTGCCGACCTGGCAGCTGCCTTCCTCGGCGGTCTAGTTTCTGCCTCCCTCCTCCGCTCCCCAACAGCTGCCGAAGTGGAGGCTACGTGTCAACACACCTGCCTCCTCCCAACCTGGGCTCCCCCTGCGTCCCACCGCCCTGCATTCCACCTCCTCCACGCCCACTCAACTTACACCCTGGGGGTGAAGGGATCCTCAACTGCAATGAAAAAGAAACCATGGAGGACCTGAATTGCCGCCTGGGCAACTATCTGGAGAAAGTGCGCTGCCTGGAAAAGGAGAACGCCGACCTGGAATGCAAGATCCGAGAATGGTTTGAATGCGAGAACGCCTACGTGTGCACCGACTTCAAGCAATTTTACTGCAACATCGAAGAACTCGAGCAGAAGGTAATGAATGGGGCATGAGGGGTGGGGAGGAAGGGAGGACTTTATCCCTCTGTCATAATACCAGAACTCAGAGCCATTCAATGAAGTTGAACAGTGAGGGATTCAGGACTTACAAAACAATGTTCTTTTCTGCATCATGTAGTTCAACAATGGACAAGATGCATTGATGGCCCTCAACTTGTATGGCTTTAAAATAGGATTTGAAAAATTCAGTAGGATGTGGGTATCAATGGAATCCAGTTATGATGGTTACATACTATCTCCAGTGTCAATGGGATGATGCCTCTGTGTGGCGTTTGCCAGAGGACATAAATGGGACGTTGCTATTGGGCTCACATCCTGATTCAGGTTCCCACTGTTGAAAAATGCTGGTCTTTGGCTGGCAGAGCAGTTCACAGAGTTGGAGCTCCTCACCATGGAGCTGGGAACCAAGAGTTTGATTCCCAGACTATGTGGCGTTGGGAAAGCTGCATAGTCCCAAAGCATCCCTAGAAGGGAGGGGTAACCCACCCCTGAGTACTCTGTGTCTAGAGAACTAAAAAGGGCTTCTATGAGAAAGAATCAACTTGATGGCACATCATCATGATTACGTAAAGTGGTCTTTGGTCTGATCCGACACAGTTCTCTTGCATCATGAGGGCTCCCATAAGCAGCAGGTTCCATGGAAACAGGAGGAATTCTAAAACCTGTTATTTGCCCCCACAAGGAGAAGGATTATTTTAGAACATACAATAAAAATGTAAGAATGTTTCTAGTGCTGGCATTTGATTCAGTCTTCCAAGATGTAATGGAAGGTTTATTTCTTCTATCATACAAGTGTAGGAATTGCCATACAGTGTCGGACAAGCTCGTTTTGTCTGCAGCCAGAAGAATGTTACAGGGGTGTTTGCAAAGAAGCATGCTGTATTGAAAGGAGTTCCAAGTTAGCATTACAAAATGTTAGATTCTCTAGATCAATGGGTCTCCAGATATTCTTGGACTAAAACTCTCAGAAGCCTTCATCACTAGCTGTGCTGACCAGGATTTCTGAGAGTTGTAGTCCAAGAACATCTGGGGACTAAGGTTGGGAACCATTGGTCTAGATCTTTAGGTTTAAAACCAAATCAGTGACTCAAGCTGATCTTCACATCCAAAGTAACATACCCTCTTAACAACCTGCTGAGGTTGGCGGGCTTTTATGCCTCATTTTAGTACAGTATCTAAAGAAGGGAGGTGGTTTGAATGGTGAGCTTTTCTTCAGTGGTGAAATTCGATTAATTTTAGCTTCTGGACCTCATGGCCTTGCATACACACATATATTTAGTTGGCTTTACTGCACTGGCTTAAAAATGTGGTCCCACCAGTCTCTAAATGCTACATTGGTGAGGAAGGGTGAAGGATCTTCCTCATCCTATTAAGCAGGGCCCTAGATTTCCACCCTAGACTTCCATCCTGATGGTACCATTGGGTTAATTTACAATATAATTTGACAAATGCAGGGAGAAGTAGGGTGGTTAGCAGAGTGGCAGGCTGTCCAATATTTTCTTGTTTCTTGATTTTTGTCTTTTAAAACATAGCATAGACATATATACACTTAAATCTACACCTAGGTCCTTGAAGACAACAGCCACAAGCAAAATCCATTTTTAAAATGTCAAAAAATTGCTCAAAGGAGGCAGGGAAAGTAAGTTTTTGTTGTGTGCCATAAAGTCACTTCCAACTTATGGCAATCCTAATAGGATCTTAAAGCTATGAGAGATGTTGAATGGTTTGAGATTGCCATCTCACCTCAATGAGTTTCCCTGGCCAAGCAGCGATCTGAACCCTGGTCTCCTGAGTGCTTAAGTCCAGCACTCTACTCACTACACCACACTGGTTCTCAGAAGGAATATTTAGTGACATTTACTCAGCCTTTTGAGAACCACTGGTTGGGACACGGTATCTTATAAAGAACCGCAAATGTGTGTTCATAGTGGGCCCACAGCATCAGCACTCACCCGCAGAATGTTGAACCCCCTCTTATCAAATCCACGTGGATTAAAATGAAATGCATTTGTTCATCTGTTTTGTTTTTCAGATTTGCTGCGTTAAAGCTGACAATGCAAGATTGTGTCTGGGTATTGATAATCTTAAAATGGCTAATGATGACTACTGCACTAAGTAAGATTGGTTCTGGGATAGATCTTGCCATTTGCATCTTGTATGTTGCACTCCCCCATATAGTTCCCACCAAGGTCCCAATAACAAAAGCTTTGGGGGGGGGGAACTTGGCTGAAAACACTGAACACTCTTAGCAATGGCAGCACTCTACTTTTTGATTTACATTGTTATTATTAATATTATTATCATCCAAAAATACCAGGCACAGTCAAAATTATAAAAACATTGACTGGTATTATATAACAGATACAAGTTTTAACCAAAAACATAAGTATCTGTTAAAGATCAGCACAGTATGTATGCTGTTCCTAATATTGCCATTTTTTGTAGCTCTGATGATGTGACTTCTGAGATCTGCAACTGCTTATAGTACTGTGTGAAATTTCTTGATATTGTTCCCAAGGCCCCGATGACTATGGGGACCACTGAAGTGTGTTTCATCCACAAATGAGATGTTTTCATTGCCAGGTCCCTCTACTTTGTTAGTTTTTCCAGTTCTTTATTTTCTTCTTCTTCTTCTGGGTGGGTGGGTGCTTAGTGGAGGAGAAAGATGGTTAGAATAAATAAAATAGTGCGGGAAGCTGAGAAGAAGGTTTCAGAATCTCTATGAACATTTGATAAGCATACATTGATGCCTTAGTGTGTCAACAGAAGATGCCTCTTCACTGGCCACTGAATTCACCCTTGACTTGGGCCTGTGCCTCCGTTTCCCAGGTCCAGACCTCATATGCTGCTCTCTCAGACATGCGGCAGTCATTTCTCTTTTATTCTTTTGAAGGTATCAGCATGAAGTGAGTCTGCGCCAGCGAGATGAGCGTGACATAAATGGCCTTCGTAGAGTTCTGGATGGTTTAACCTTGTGCAAGTCTGACCTCGAAACACAGCTTGAGTCCTTGAGTGAGGAAATGGCGTGCCTGAAGAAAAACCACGAGGAGGTAATCACCAAAACATTTCACATACTAATAATGCTAAAACAGGGAGAATCTAGGACCTTCCAGATGGTGAAAGAAAGCAACTTCCATCACATGTTGTAGCCAACACAGGCAACAGTGAGGGATGATGCAGTTTGGGGTTTTCATTTCCCATCCCTTTGCTAAAACACAGGCTCAGAGATATAGAATGATGGAGCTGAGAGTGCACAGAGGCCAGATCGTCCACCCTCAGTCCAAAGGCAGGGGGCATCATCTATCCACCAGTCCTTACAATCTAGATGAACGTTCCCCAACTTTATGGCCTTCAGATTCTTAGACCATTAATCCATGTTGGCCTCAGTCCTGTGTGACCTTTGACTGTGATGGTCTAGGTAAAGGAAGTTAAAAGGAAAAGGTAAAGGTTTCCCTTGACAATTTTTGTCCAGTCGTGTTCGACTCTAGGGGGCGGTGCTCATCCCTGTTTCCAAGCCACAGAGCCAGCGTTTTGTCCGAAGACAATCTTTCTGTGGTCACATGGCCAGTGTGACTTAGACACAGAACGCTGTTACCTTCCCACCAAGATGGTCCCTATTTATCTACTTGCATCTGCATGCTTTCCAACCACTAGGTTGGCGGGAGCTGGGACAAGCGACAGGAGCTCACTCCGTTGCGTGGATCTGATCTTATGACTGCTTGGTCTTCTGACCCTGCAGCACAGGCTTCTGTGGTTTAGCCCACAGTGCCATGTAAGTCTGTAGGGCTGGAGAGGGCTGAGGTGTGCAGAGCAAATTAGCTTCGGGCAAGTAGACAACTGCTTCAAGCTGTAAAGGCAAAGGGGAAAATCTTAAAGCAGGGATATGGAACCAAAACTTGATGGATGGAGGATTTCCTTCCTGTGGCCCTTTATGACTGAATGATATTGAGGCATGACCATATCCCCTCATGGCCCAGGGTAGAGTCTTCAGCCTGGGGACTGCTTGACTTCCCTTCCTGTTGCCACATGCAGGAGGGGAAGAAGCTTTTCCCACAGACCTCAGCAGAACAGACAACAAACCTCCACGAGAAAGATTAGGCCGACGGAACAGAGATTCCCTTCCCCTTTTCTTATGGGTTACTAATCACTGTCCCTGAGGAGATTTTGATTTTTAATCCAGTTCCAAGCCCCTGACCCAAAGAAAGCCCTGTTCTCTGAAGCTCTGCAAAACAACAGTTTTATTGGGGACTGAATCCCAATTAAGCAACCAGTAGACAAAATGAAGGAAATCTGAAAACTCTCTTCATAATCTCCGCCTCAAAGAGACATTCTTCATCTTTTTCCTTTTCCTTCTTCTTCTTTTTTTCCCCGTCCTCTCCTCCAGGAGTCCTGTGCCCTCCGTTCTCAGCTTGGCAACCACATCAGTGTGGAAGTGGCTGCTCCACCATCCTGTAATCTCAACAAGGTCCTGGATGAGATGAGATGCCAGTATGAGTCCGAAATTGAGAAAAATCGCCAAGAAACTGAAGCATGGTACAGGGAAAAGGTAGGGCAACCAGAAGAAGAGGGCTCTATAACATTTTGGGGTTTTGTTTTGTTTTCAAAAAAGGACCCTGATTTGCACAAAAACACGTATGCTAAAAATTTATGCATGGGTGCAAAATTAGAACAAACACCAGGCAACTGATGTGCCTTCTTAGTTTGCTGGTCAGGTATATCTCACTGTGGATGGGCAACCTCACGTTTTCTGACTTCCACCCTCATGGTTCTTCATTAGAGATAGGATATTTGTATATGTCTCTTGGGGGAGACAAATATGAATATTGCCACCACAGATAGCTGGGCCTTTTTGACTCACCCCCCATTTACTGCTCATGGTGCAGCGTGTGGGGCTGTCATCATTTGCGCCAGTCGCGGAGGTAGCCTGGACAGGGCTTCCCAGCCTCCCTACACTGCTGACCACTCTAGAGAAAAGGTGGGACGATGAGTCTCCCCACTCAGCTGCTGAGTGGTCAGAGGTGCAAGGAGCCGGGGAAGCCTCATCGGGCTACTTCCGTGATTGACACAGCGTCCGTGATTGACACAGCGTGAACAAGAATGGCCGTGTGCGTTGCCAGCGGTAAGTGGATTGACTGGTTCTAGGGGGAGGACCGAAAGGGCCAGATGCCTGTGGTGGTGATATTTCTATTCATCTCCTCCAGGAGACGAATATGAATATCTCATCTCTATTCTTCATCTTTAAACTTTGATTGGAATGCCCTTCGAGAAAGACCTCCCAAATGGAGCACATTTTCAAAAGGAGGACTGCCCGGTAAGAAAAAGGACATGCAGTCCCCTGATGTACAGATGGCCCAACATTGGAAGCCCAACCTGTTATAGCTGGAGAAAGTTTGAACCTGCCTTGGCGTGACCTTGTCAAAGAGACAGATGCCTTAGTTCCATCTTGCTTGGATTCTGCAACGTGCTCTGCATGGGCCTGTCTTTTTTTTTGAAAGTGTCAGAAATTTCAGCAGGTCCAAAATCCTGCTGTTCGATTGTTAACTGGGGCTGGGTCCAGGGATCACATAATCCTAAATGACTTGGGCCCAAGCTACGTGGAAGACAACATTGCTCGTGAAGAGAGATGTACTGGTTTTTAAAATCACCAGAGGAGGTCTTTCTCTCAGTCCCATCACCCTCTCGGGTGTCCACAGTGAGCGCACAAGAAAGGGCCTTCTCTGTCACTGCTCCCAAGCTGTGGAAACCACCACCACCCCGTGGGTGGCCAGGCTGACCCCCGCTTTGATGTCCTTCTGTGGGCAGGCAAAGACTTTTCTCCTCAAGTAAGCTTTTTCTTGGTAACTGGCTGCCCGACAGGCGGGCCGCTGTTTGTTTGGGTTTCTTTCCCTTCCAGTCTCCGCATCATTTATTTTAATATTTGTAAGCCACCCTGGATTCTCTTGAGGAGAAAGGTGGGGTATAAATATTTTAAGTAAATGAAAACAGAAATACATTTAGATAAGACGCATTTTCCCTACATCAATTCGCTTTCCCACCACTCTAATGGGTTTCTTGCCAAGAACCATTCCGCGCAGAACAATGCAAGTCCCTCAGCCCGCCTTTACTTTTTCCCTTCTTCTCTCAGATGGACCAGCTAAACAGGGAGGTGATCTCCAGCGGAGAGCAGCTGCAAAGCTGCCAGAGTGAGATTGCTGAGGGAAGGCGTCGTGTTCAAAACCTTGAGATAGACCTGCAAGCCCAGCAGAGCATGGTGAGTATGAATTCAAAGCGCCTAGTTCAACCCTCACCACTGAATGCAAGTATCTTACAGGTCCATGTGGCGCTAGCACAGATCCTGCTTCTGAGCAGTTCTTCTAAAGGCACAGGAGATAAATCCCCAAATCTAACCCATATAGCACAGGAGCTGGGAAACCTCCGAGAATCTGGACAAGCACTCCCATAATTCCATATCACTGGCTATGCTAACAGGTGTTTCTGGGACTTGGAAAAAATGGGGATCAGCAGTTCCCCATCCCTGATGGCGTCTTATCTTTTCATTATCTTTATTGTATTTACATTAGAGTGTTTCCTCTGTAACAAGCACCACTTCATTTCAGAAGTCTGAGATATGAAGGAAGAATGTAAAGTAGGCGCCAAGACTGTATTGATTAGCAATGATCATTATCCAGACCACATCAAAGGATTATGGATGCTATGTGCCCTTAAAAGTACAACGGGATGGAACAGATGAAGCATGCAGGAACAGATACTTCAAGACACAAATGCCAACTAATGGATTAGGATATTATTTATGTGACTTGAGGGCATAAAGAAGAGAACAGGCCGTGTGCTAACTCATTATGGAGTTGTGTTGTTGTTGTGCCTTTTGACTTACAGAAAGTCACGTAGGGTTTTTCAAAGTATGTGAGATCTTCAATGAGTCGTTTACTATTGTCACCACCAGCCTATTGAGGTCCCATCGCTAGGCGGGGCTTTGAACCCAGGCCTCCTTAAGTCCTAGTCTGATACTGTGCACCTGTGGTTCCCAGCCTTGCATTCCCAAATATTCTTAAGACTACAATTCCCAGAAACCCTCACCATTAGCTGTGCTGGCCAGGATTGATGGGAGCTATGGGGAGGATGTGCTTTGTTTTCCCCTTCTAATAGTACCTTGCCTTCCCCCGTTCTCAGAAAAATGCCCTGGAGTGCACCTTGCAAGAAACGGAAGAGCGCTATTGCACCCAGCTCTCCCAGCTCCAGACCATGGTCAGCAACACGGAAGCCACGCTGGCCGAAATCCGCTGTGACATCGAGCGCCAGAACTGTGAGTACAAGACTCTCCTTGATGAAAAGGCCCGCCTGGACTGCGAGATCGCCACATACCGCAACATGCTGGAAGGAGAAGACCACAAGTACGTACTCAAAACTAACCTCTCCCAGCAAAATCAGCTAACAATTAATTTAGATTTAGGTTTGCTAAACTCACCTTAGCTGTGATCCCATAAGAATAACCAGCTGGAAGCAAATTCCTGTGAAAACTGTTCTAGAATATATTCTCCACATTTATTTGTTACATTTACACTATATTCTAGCTTCCCTCCCATGAGTTCACCATTGCACACATGGTTTTCCTCTTCTACACCATAATCTCACAACAGGTTTAGCCCAAAGTCACTTAGTGAGTTTCATGGTTCAGTGGGTACTAAAACCCAGGACTTGTAAGCTTCAGTCTTATACTCCAACTACTTGCTATGCTACTTTTAGCATTTGATCAAACTCCAAGAATACTCAGGAGCATTTATGGGAATTCTCCCGAGAACAGGAGGCAAAGCTGCATAGCAGCATGTTAGTACAGTTTGTGTATGTAGCTTGTAACATCATAAGTCATATCCAGACATTTTCCTTGTTTGCATCTGCTTGTGCACATTAAAAAAAACATTTGGATTCTGGGGGTGGAAAAAAATCTCCCCGGCCATCTTTCCTGTAAACACCCATGAAAATTGGTATCTTCCCAATTTCCTCATGGTTCAGGGATTATATATGACAGCAGGACATTGGGTGTTGATGATCATGATGAAGCAACCAGGGAGGGGTGAGAATTTTTTTTAGTTTTGTTTCTGATTTTTAAAAAAAATCCTCAGCTTCACATATTTCTTTTTATTTTCGTGCACTAGAAAACACTTCAGATTTTTTAAAAAATCACTGGGTGTAACAGAGTGACAAATTTCCCTTTCCAGGCCTAGAGTTGTATGTATTTTATATACAGTGCTGCTTCTGAAGACAATGTTAATTCGTTCCACAAAAATCACTGTCTTGCGAAAACATCGTCTTGCAAAATGCGGTTCCCCGTTGGAGTGCATTTAAATCTATTTAATGCGTTCCAATGGGGGAAAAATTGTCATCTTGTAAAAATTGTCCATAGAAAAAACCGTCTTGCGAAACACAGTTCCCATTGGAATGCATTGAAATCTATTTAATGCATTCTAATGGGGGGAATCATCTTGCAAAGCATCGATCTAAAAAAAAGCCATCTTGCGAAACGCGGTTCCCCATTGGAATGCATTGAAATCTATTTAATGCGTTCCAATGGAGGAAAAAACCGCCTTGCGAAGCATCGGTCTTAAAAAAAAAAGTCTTGCGAAGCACGGACCCAAACATCTAGTGAAAATCGCCCATAGGAGAAACCATTTTGCGAATCCCAACAGCAATCGCAAAAACCCATCATCTTGTGGATTAATCGTCCCGCGAGGCAATCGTCTTGCGAGGCACCACTATACTTTAAAACTCCTGCCTTTGAATCCCCAGGTGTTCAATCACACTGATGCTTAACTAGGGTTGCCATTTCTTTTTCCTCAGAGGCTCCTCCACTTTAACATCTAGATGGCAGTAAGCTGCAATGTGGTTCTCTCTGCACTGGTGAAATGAGAGAATATTATTTAAATTCATTTTTGAATCTTCCACCAATATTTACACAATTCTTCATATTCAGAACAGAAAGCACATAGGCTTTAATAATTTGAAGGCAGGAAAAAAGATAAAATGTTTGATTCCCATTCCTGGTAGCAAACTTGGGGGGGGGGAGAATATTGAAATCTCTAGTGGTTTCAGGAAATACAAGACCCCCAAGCCTAATCAGATCCTTAGTCCTAACCATTCTGATAACGGTCAATTTAACATGCTGTTAAGTTGATTCTGACTTATGGCAACGCTTTTCAGAGTTTTCAAGGTAGAAAACACAGAGAACTGGTTTACCCTTCCCTTATTCTGGGGGTGTCCTGGGACTGCGCAGAGGGCCCAAGGCCACACAGGCTGCCTCTTCTTCCAAGAGGCACAGCAAGGAATCAAACACCCAATCTCTGGCTCCATGACCAGATACCTAAACTACTGAGCTATCCAGCCAGCATAACTCTGCCAAGTTGAGGGTTTATTAGACTGGGAAGCCCTTTGCTTCAGCCTCTGACATTTGCTCTTGCACACACATACAAAATTTCTTCCAAGAGATATGATCACCTCACATTTATTTATTTATTTTTAAATCAATGTTTGTTCTTCTCCCAGGTTGCCTGAACGCCCCTGTGACCCTGAGTGTCCAACAGCCATCCGCTCATCTGTTTGCCAGCCTGTTTGTGTTCCCGAGCCCACCTGTGCTCCTTCCTGTCCGCCAACCTGCGTCCCATCTGTGCCTGTGGTTGAGCCCAGCCTGGCTCCATCCTGTGTCAATCCCTGTGGGCCAGTTCATGCCCCGTGTGGCCCCCCACCATGTGGCCCATGCGGGCCAGTCTGCCCCCCACCTTGTGGCCCACGAATCAACACCAGGATTTGTCCCATGTAAGCTGTTAGTGTCCAGATCTAAAACTGAAAGGTATCAAGAAACAAAGTATGACCCAAACTCAAAGAAAAATAACCCCCGAAAAGTGTTCTACCCTATGCTTAGAAAACCTCTTATTGGGAGCCATGCAAAAGTTGCACTTCTTCTGCCATTAACATGGTGGCTCTGACTGCTGGTTCCTCTTTTCCCTGCTGCTTTCATGCTTTATGGCAGTGGTTCCCAACCTTGGGCCTCCAGATGTTCTTGGACTTCAACTCTCAGAAATCCTGGCCATCAGAGGTGGTGGTGAAGGCTTCTGGGAGTTGTAGTCCAAGAACATCTGGAGGACCAACGTTGGGGACCATTGCTTTATGGGATACATGGGAGATTATGTGGCTTATTCTTAATAAAAGTTTGTTTTCTGGCATAAGCAAAGTATGATGTCTGGAGTGAGTTTCTTAGGGAAGGATTACGACAAGGAGTACAAGGAGAATTTCCAGATGGAGACAAGAAGAGCTTAAAATAATACCTCGTTTAAACAATGGTCGAAGTTTTTTTCTGGTATCAGAGCTTAGGGTGTAATCATAGAGGGAAATGGTTCACATTTTGGAAAAGCCTAGTGTGAGCAATTTCCCAGCGATCACAGAATGTACAGGCCATTCGTTCGTTTAGTCGTTTAGCCATGTCAGACTCTTCATGACCCCATGGACCAGAGCACGCCAGGCCTTCCTATCTTCCACTGCCTCCCGGAGTTGTGTCAAATTCATTTTGGTTGCTTCGATGACACTGTCGAACCATCTCTGTCATCCCCTTCTCCTCTTGCCATCACACTTTCCTAACATCAAGGTCTTTTCCAAGGAGTCTTCTCTTCTCATGAGATGGCCAAAGTATTGGAGCCTCAGCTTCAGGATCTGTCCTTCCAGTGAGCACTCAGGGTTGATTTCCTTTAGAATTGATAGATTTGTTCTTGCAATCCAGGGGACTCTCAAAATCCTCCTCCAGCAACACAATTCAAAAGCATCAATTCTTCGGCGGTCAGCTTTCTTTATGGTTCAGCTCTCACTTCTATACATCACTACAGGGAAAACCATAGCTTTGACTACGTGAGCCAGGAGCTCTCCAGTTCAACCCTGATCCATATGCTAGCTCAGCCTTTCGGTCCAGCAAGAGGGCTGCTATTTTTTGAGGCTGGTCTGGATGGACGGACAAGTCACTTTGAAGGAAATTGTAACTGCACTGGTTCGTTCAAGGCAAAGTCATTACAGTCCATTGAGTTGGGTTCAAGCTAACATATAGACTTAGGATAGGGATGTGAAACATGCAACATCTTTGTGAGAAGCTGAGTTGGGGAAATCCTTATTTTATTCCAGCATTAATGTTCCTCAAGTATGGTGGAGGATGGAAAAGGACTTTCTCTCATGTTACAGAAAGACTCAAGTGCCATGAACAAGAAGAGGGAATGATCTTGCCCGTTGCTTGGGGTTGGTCACAAGATGTTTTGGGCCAGCCCTGGACAGATGAATCTATTTCCAGCCCATGTCATTTTCACTGTTTCCTGAGCTGATTCCATCATGTTTCTTCACATTTCTGCCCTCCCAAATCACACAGAAATGTAGTATATTTGAATATCTAAGCCCTGGACAGATGAATCTATTTCCAGCCCATGTCATTTTCACTGTTTCCTGAGCTGAATCCATCATGTTTCTTCACATTTCTGCCCTCCCTCTGTTCCAAATCACACAGAAATGCATATTTGAATATATGCTTTTGAAAGTGTTCTCTCACAAAAGAGAGAGATTTGAAGAGGGGATTCCAAGAGAATGCTCTGCCCTAAAATTGCCTAATTAATATATTTTGCCATTTGTTTTAAAGATCCAGCTTACCTCAAATTTTGTGTCTGTCTGCCAAAGTACCTTTTTTTGAAGGAATAATTGCATTCCAATCCACATATTACCGTGGTGGGGTACAAATCAGGTTCCTTCTCATCAGAATTTACAAGGGCCTAATTCCTCAAGCATCACTGCTTAAGACCTGTTGAAAGCAGTGGGTCATAAGTTAAGTCATTACTTACCTTCTCAGCCACACAAGACACTGTTTCAAGACCTCCATACAGAGCACGATACCATAGTCTCTCGAGACTGAAGGATGCCTACATGTTAAGACCTGTTGAAAGCAGTGGGTCATAAGTTTTATATTTATTTTAATTGCAACTTCATTCAGCAGCGTGAGCCTGGATCTAATCATTCACCTAAGACAATGATTTGCAATCTTGGATAACCCAGATGTTCTTGGACTGCAATTCCCAGAAGGCTTCACCACCAACTGAGCTTGCCAAGGTTTTTGGGAACTGCAGTCCAAGAACACCCGGGTTACCCAAGGTAGGGAACGTGTTACATTATAAAGTAATCTTTGGTGTTGCTGCCACCTACTGTCTGAAGCAGGAGGTCTTGGTCTCGGATTACCCACGGAGGTGGGGAGAGTGGGGGAAACAACAGAGGGAAGCAGCTTTCAAAACAAATAATGTATCTCATCATTAAGCTCAGAGATGTAACTGCTGGTTGGGGGATTCCGGGAGTTAAGAGTCCAAACAAGTAACTTATCTGGGCTCTGCACATGAATATCACTCTCCTCCCATTAGAATTAATTAATTCCTCCCATGAGTACCCTCCTCCTATTACAATTAAGGAAAATCAACTAAAAATCGAAAATCAGAGGGGAGAGACATTTAATCCTGTCTTAAAAGGTAAAGGTTCCCCTTGACAATTTTTTGTCTAATCGTGTTCAACTCTAGGGGGAGGTGCTCATCCCCGTTTCCAAGCCATAGAGCCAGTGTTTTGTCTGAAGACAATCTTCCATGGTCACATGGCCAGTGCAACGTAGACATGGAACGCTGTTACCTTCCCACCGAGGTGGTACCTATTAATCTACTCGCATTTGCATGCTTTTGAACCGCTAGATTGGTGGGAGCTGGAACAAGTGATGGGCGCTCACTCCGTCGCGTGGATTCAATCTTACGACTGCTTGGTCTTCTGACCCTGCAGCACAGGCTTCTGCGGTTTAGCCCGCAGCGCCACCACGTCCCTGGTTAATCCTGTCTTACATCTCATCAAAAAGAAGCTCTACGTTTTTGTAGATACTTCAGGGAGAGCAAGATCTAATAGAAACGAGATGGGGGACGGGAGCAGCCACAAGCAGGAGAACCCCCATTTTTAAGTCCAGCTCAGTTTCTGTTGGCTGGGAGACAGCAAGCTTTTAACTCTTTCCCCACTTTGTTTGCCTGCTTCGTTGGCTTCTTGAGTGTTCCTCCCAACAGGAATACCCTGGTGCATTTCCCCCCCCCCATTCAAGAGGTACAACAGAGGAATGAGTTGCCTTGGGAATTCCACCCATCCAAAACTTCTGCTCATCTACCTTTGGAGAAGCCACAGGAGCAGAAAGTTCTACCACCGCTTAGGGTGGCCTTCCATATTAAAACCTCTCTGTGTGTCCTTGGAGTGGGGTGCCCAGTTTCTTATGGGAACAGGATCATAGGACTGAAGTCTAAACGTAAGGAAGACCAATCACTACCACATCTTCCTACCCACCTCTCCACTAATCCATCACAGGTTCATTTGTAAGTTTTGGAAGAGGCAGCCATGTTAATCCGTGCTAGCGTATCAGGACAAAATCAAACGAAACATTTAAAAAAAAAATAAAGGAGACATAAAATTTTGTGGCGCCTTAAGGACCAACTCTTATACAGTATTTTAATGCGAACTTTCATGGACAAGTCCACTTCTTCAGGTTCATTTAACCCATCTAAAGAATGGCCAATTCCATAACATTTAATCAACTTACAATCTAATGCACATCGCTTATAGGAAGAAAATAAATATTGGGATATATGTCTTCTCTCTAGCAAGGGAGAAAAACTTGAAGAAAAGCTATTCCCAGATCAGTATTCAGTACTGACGCATGACCACCAGGGGGAGGTAAAGTGCTGTTCAATGTGTGCGAAACTAGATCAGCACCACCTCTTGTGTTTCCACCTAGAAGACAAAGCTCATTGTGTTTCCAGAGATAATAGAAGGGGGTGGGGCTAGTGTACACCCCTCATAAAGTGTGGGCTCCTCACACTTTACTCATGTCTAAATTTAAGCGTAGCTTTTTATTTCAATCTGCTGGAGCGACTGAACAAATATTGGCAAGTGTATCAGCAGACTTTAAAAGAATAATTTTTATTTATTTATTTATTCCATTTATACCTCGCCTATCTGGTCATTGCGACCACATACAGACCTTTGGACTGATCTGTCCGAAATATAACAGGGACAATTTTTTCACAGTTGGCTGGTATATCTCTGCATTTCATGTTTGTATGTTTTATGTGCTGTGAAATCAAATCCAACTTATGACAACCCTTGTAGAGTTTTAAAGGTATGTGTAAGTCTTACCAGTGCCCCACCTCATGATTTTCCACAGCCAAGCAGAGATCTGAACTCAGGTCTCCTGGAACCTACTCTATCTACTACACCACACTGGCTCTCAATTTTCTTTTACAAGTGTGTGTGTGGTGGGGGAGATATGGCTATTTTTGTTTGCAGTGTAGGTAAATGGGAGATATGAATTTCCAGAATTTGCATCTAACTTACCCCAAACAACACTACAGCTGAATTTGGGGCCAGAATCAAACATGAGAAACAGCCCATGAATAGAAGAGGAAACTCCTTAACTACTGCAAGCATCTGAGTGTCACATCAGGAGTTTCACTGTGTATAATGTGAAAGCTAGCTTGCTTTGTTTGAATTGTCTTCAGGATTTAAGAAGCAAGACTTTCAAAGTCTGATTTCACAAAAATACTGTCTCCATCACCTCTCTGTAACATTAACATGCCTCCAACTCTGAAGTCTATTACAGTGGTGCCCCATTTAATGACGAATCAGCATAGTGATTAAGTTTTTGCGATCGCAAAAGCAATCGCATTGCGATGATTTAAATGGTAAAAAATCGCTTTGCGACGATCGGTACGCTGTTTCGCTTACCAA